ACAGCTCTTATGGCTGGCCTATGGACTAAATCATATATTCTGGCAGTGCCAAAGTATTAATGTAGTAAGAGAGTGCCTTATACAAGATTTATTAAAGTTAAAGTGTCACCCACCGTACAGGACAGAATCTGTGTTAAGTTCTAAGACTTTTGGTATTGTTGAAGCGTTGGCAAAATTTATTAACTCTATAGATATTTTTATATAGCATCCTTGTGAATGGAAGTGAGTGTGTTTTTAGAGCTAGTATGAGTGTAATTTATTGATTATTTTTCATTGATAGAAAGAGAAAAATCATTTGTTTTAAGTTCTTCTACCGTCTTGTTCTAGTTATATTAGTGTAAGTCCAAATTTTCCGCCGGAAAAGTTAAACGCAAAGTGTAAACCATAGCATACAGTCACACAATCATATATTTAGTATTATAGTTTTCGTTATAAATATATTCTAAACATATATAGGGTTAGGTTTATTCGTTTGGTTAAAAAGGATAAAAAAAATTTTTTAATAAATTTTGTACAATGTATGGCAGTAAAGGGTAGTAGCCAAAAGGGATTGTCTTTTCGGAGGCGACCGCCCAGCCGGCCTTCTGTCGAAAGGTGTAAAAAGCTGGGGATACTACGGTTTCCGTGGCGCCGCCATTTGAGGGTGTTTTTAGATAGATCGACCAAAAATAAGTCGAAAATGAAGAATAAAATTTTTCGATATCTCGCTTCGTTTTCGAGATATCGAAGGTCAAAGTTTTTATATACGGATGGACGAAAAAGGAGACTGCGCTAGAAAAACAGTCGATAAAAGAGATTCCTTTGTAAAGTACATTTCAAACTAAAAGCGCGAATCATTACAAATAATACTAAAAATTGACATTGCATACTTTTCAATAGAATCATAAGTAAAAATCAAAGATGAACCGTTATAAAGATCAAAAGAAACACTTAATATCCATTTAATCATGTAGCATACCCCAATCCGTGCTTTTCAGGCAGAACCAACTGTCAACTAGCACAAAATTGTGTAGAATTGTCTCAAATAGATAGTAGCATAACCCAATCCGTGTTTTTTAGGCAGAACCAACTGTCAACTAGAACAAAATTGTGTAGAACTGTCTCAAGTAGATAGTAGCATACCCCAATCCGTGCTTTTCAGGCAGAACCAACTGTCAACTAGAACAAAATTGTGTAGAATTGTCTCACTAGTCGACAGAGCTAACTGATATACCTAACATTACAAAAAATGAACATTCACACATTTTCGTTTATATTTCTAGACAATTTTGGCTATAAAAAGCTAAATTTTATAGGCTTTTTACACTCGAAGTGCACCACGGGAAGGTATTGTCTAATCGCACTTCATACACAACAGAAGGGGACCCCTCGGCTCGTCACTTCCGAAGTATTTTATGACTCCTGTTGTGTTGAGACTAATTAGTCTCAAAAGACATCCTCACCATCATATTCTGGATCAGAGTCTCTTTCTATTGCTCTCTCAATATCGTCCTCTTCGTCATCCGAACCATCTTCTAATCTCATTTTTTTTGCCGGTGGTAAAAATTTCTCTTCTTGAGATGATGTGAAACATGGTGGATCAATTTCTTTAATTGTTATTCCTTTCTCCAAGTTTCCTTTCACTACTCCCGGATATACTTTTTTAATATCAAGAAGGAATTGCATGATTTGGGAACCCAGATCTCCCTTATACTTATCCAAATATGTCCTTCTATAAAAATAGAGAGCCATATATTGGTGTAGAAGTTTTGGGGTTCTACGACATTTAATCGATTTTTTTAACAATTTATTTTGGTTCTCCAAATCATTGATGGTATTTGCCGGATTTGATTTATCAACATATTCACCGATACTATGATTTGTTCGCAAATGAACAGTACTATGAGCGAACATTCGTTCAACTCCTTCATACTGTTTTGCGCTGTCTGTACATATTCGGGATGTTGATGAATCTACATACTTTTGTATGTACGGCCACAATTCCTTCTTGCTTTTTCCATTTACTTTAAAAAATAACCCAACTTTGTCTTCCTTGCAATATAAACCAAGAACGGTTGTAGTCATTTGCTCGGTAACACGGCCCCGATTGTATTTTCTTTTAGTCAAAAATGTTTCATCAATTTGGACCGTTTTACCTTCGCCACCAAGTACCAAATCACTGTGTGATGCGATTACTTCAGCTATTTCTCGGCAATAACTGAAGTAATCAATTACAGTATTCCAACTAAGCTCGGGGCAATCTCGATGATTACGCCAAGCTTTGAGATGATTATACACATCAGTGACTTGCATCTGAATCGCGAAACAAATGACGATTGCAAGTACATCGCGTACTTCGATGCGACACGTATTTCCTTCGAAAAACGTACCAGACGCTGGGTTTATAATTTTTCGGCACGATTTATCTCTTCTCTTCTTTGATCCTTTTGAAGAACACCTCCATACCCATTTGAGTTTTTTGTCTCCAAAATCCTCAACGAGCATTGGGAGATTACAACATGTCGGTGGTGTCGATTGACGCGACGGAATTAAGCCGATTTCTTCGAGAAAAGAAATTGCTAATTCATTTGTTGTAACAAGTTCTCCAAAAGAATGAAAGAATGAAAAATTTTCTAATTTACTATGTAATTCTGGATGCATACCTGACATTTTGGAAACTTGTAGAAAAGAAGAACAGCAGAAAGAAAATCGACAAAACGAACGATACCGAAGAACAATGGAAACTGATACAAATAAATAATCAATCAATTATTTCGCCGCTAGAGATTGTTAGTAGATCGATTTTAATTAATTTTTCCGCCAAAAGATTTCGTGACGTCGTCCGTAGTATTAATTTTTTCTGTTAGATGGCGTGAGAATCTTATTCTAACCAATGATTATATTATGTTGCACAATATGAAAATATTAAGAAAATTTAAACAAAAACGGTCAAAAAAATTGTTTTTTAACGCTTATTTATTCATATTCATTGAAAAATACAAAAAAATTCTTTTATTTCCATCGCTACAAATGATTAATAATGTAAAATTATTAAGATATCCTATAAAATACGTGTTTCGAAATTTGAAACTTTGAACCTCGATATCTCGAAAACGAAGCGAGATATCGAAAAATTTTATTCTTCATTTTCGACTTATTTTTGGTCGATCTATCTAAAAACACCCTCAAGTGGCGGCGCCACGGAAACCGTAGTCGTGCCAAAAAGCTTATTAATAAAAAAAAAATAGCTATAATTTTAGCATAAACTATGCTCAGATCATAATTTTGACTACATCAATAGAAAGCTCTTGCTCTCAGGAATCCATTGATATGCTTGTGGTCCATGTACCTCTCATAGATCGTGAGTTATGGGCAAAAAAACAAGCTATGCTCCAATGAAACATAAAAAAACCTTTAAACGCTCAAAACTTTAGCTTCTATGTATGTTGCGAACAGAGCTGGACTTTTTCCATTTAGAAATTGGTGCTTGAAAATAAACTGGCTTAGGATTTTTATAATGAGAGTAAAAGAGAGCAGAAATCTTATCTCTTTTCTCTCTTAGATTAAGGGGCGTGGCTAAAATAAACTATTGCAGCGCCATTGCTCGATGGGTTTACAGAAACTTTCATGTTATGACCTGAGATTACCGACATGTTGACCGGAACTTTGTCCGGATTTTTAACACAGCATTGGACTTTTATACTGGTCTCTCTTCTCTGACTCCGGGAAATTTTCTGAGACTAGCCCGGCCTTAACAGGAATAAAATTATAAATTGAATAAAGATGTTCTGATGAACCGATAAATAATAAGTAAAAACGATGAGTCAAACTCGATTGGTTTCTTATCATTTGCTGCTCACGTTATCAACGAAAACTAGTATACCGACACTTTTCATCTCTTCTTTTCACTTTTGACTTGCGATGTCGTTTATGGGATTAATTTGAGCACCTAAAATAATGAAAACTTTGACTGTGTATGACAATAATTATATGTTGATCTCACAACAGCATTGAATTATGCAAAGTAGCTTCTGTACTTACTTAACAAAACTTATCAACTATTATGAAACAACGCCCAAGGTAATTTAAAATTTAATTATAATAACTCTTCTTTCTATTCTATTTGTAACAATCCAATTATTTTTAATAGTTCACAATTACTTATAAGATCTTGAATTAATTTAGAACTAAACAAAAAGAAACTCAACTGTTTGTTCCAGAATTTTTTATAGTACCTCGACTTTAAAAGAAAATTTATATGATAGAAAAACAATTTTTTTTTAAAAGAAGGGTTTTTTTCAAACCTTAAAGTTGAATTTATTTTTACAAACTTTGATAAAAGATTCTCTCTTTAGAAAGGACTAGTCAGCTGGCATATGATCAATGGACTAAACTCTTTTATTTCTTTTCTTTTTCTCTAGATTCAAAGGAACCATAAATTTTTGATGAAAATTTTTATCAATAAATCTGACTTCAGTGGAAATATCATTATTTCTAAATCTGAATAATTCTGGAAATGTAAAAAAAATGTTAATATTAGTTAATTACACTGCAGGCTATTTCATAAAAATTTTTTAAATTATATCCTCTCGACTTCACCTCTTGCATATGTGAAGCAACCTTAATGTCTGCAACCACTATTGGTTTTTTTTTTATTTTCAAAAATTCATATTTCTGTACCCTTTAGCCAGAGTAACTTGACCTATATTTCAAAACATTGCGTTCGTACTGCCTTTCAAGTTCAACTGGTGGTAGTTTATTGTCCTAGACTGAATCCTAAAGTATGTATAAAATTTAAAAACAAATACAGGTACACAGAGAGATTTCAAAGAAAGCTTACAATTAAGTCATATAAGCTCTCTCCAGTAGAATTATTATTTCCAGGGTATTCTAATTTCCTACAAAATTATTTTATGGAAAAGGAAAAATTTGTGAATGAACAAATCTCATGCCTTATTATGATTTCTTGAAGTATATGTGAAAATGAGCATTCTTCATTCACGCAGTTGAGTAATTTTCCTCTGAAAAGTATACACATTATTTGCACTATTATTATACTTATTAAAACAAGTGTAAGTCACACCTGTTTGTCAAACGGTTACGAGAGTACGAGTTCAACAAGTTGTGATTTTTTTTCTGTTATTTACATCACTTCCAGAATCAAATAACACTTAAATTATTTGTGAAATAATCAAAAGTATTTTACTACCCTTGCTGAACTATTTTATAATAAAAACTAGATTAAAATGATAAATAATGTTTGTTGTCAAATATTGCAGAGGTAAGTCATGAAAATATTCACTTGTACGATACTATCAAATGATATCACATACTTCTATCTGAATACAAACTACAAAGTAATATACACGCAAATGTAGTGTGTGATAAAAGTCTGACATACAAAGCGTAAAATGTTTGCAATCATGTGAGATAGCCTACAACAAATTTAGTAGTCAGTAAATAAAGTTAGTAACAAGGTCAGGATAAATTGCAAATGCTCAGACGTTCTTAAGAGTATTAATAATACTTGATTTCGTTGGGTATTCTTAAAATAACTATTTTGTATTTAAATCTTTCATCTAAAATTTAGGAAATTATTTTTCAGACATTTTTATCCATTTTAATACATTTGTTTTTTATTCTCCAGATTTCTCTTCACAGCTTTATGCATACAATATTCACTTGCAACATATGATAAAAATTTTCCATGCACTCCAACTCCAGTTGATGTTGGAAAATATATGATTAATCGATCCCACTGTTATTTGAAGAATAATAATCATCATCATTTATTCTGCTATGGGAATATTTCTTTGGAGAATTTGGAAGCTGAGTAAATATAAAATACAAAATCTTTTTTATGATTATTTAATTAATGATTTACTTATATCTGATATTTAATTAAAATCATTAAATAAATTTTCTTCATTAATTTAATTACATAATAAGTATAAGTTCAATGAAAAATTTAATAAAAATTATCCAAGGAATCAGAGTAATTTAGGTCTTTTATTTGTATTTTTTGTAATCGAAATAATGTCAGGATGCTTAGTAGTAGATAGTTGAAGCACCCGAAACGTTCAATAGATGATAGCAGTACTTTGCTTACAGGGGAAAAAATAAGAGACTCATATTACTTTTATCCTAGGCATTGCAATTAGTTGGCTTTGTCCTACTTTTTTTGAGGTGCTACAAACGCGAATAAAATGTGTCAAAAAACGAGTAAAATCTCGAGCAGTAAATAATTCCTATAATTACTCTTAAATTATAGGAATTATTTAAATTTCAAGCTTAAGATAGAATTAAACATTTTGATGTAACTCAATTTTTGGGATCATTATCTGTCTAGTGTTAAATTAACTCAATTAATTTGACATCCAAGAAGATATTAATCAACTTAAATCTCAATCATTTCAAATGTCTATATCAAAATACATAATAAATCATTTTTAGAATCATCTTTTATTCATTAAAAGATTAATTCTTTATATTTTCGCGATTTTTAATTTTTATAAATTTTCTATTTTTGGATTCTGTTTATCCTTTGGTCAGTTGAGTCTAAATATGAGATATTTACACTATAAGTATCCTAGTACTGACCAGAATTAGGTTAATAGAGTGGATACATCGTCTGTGGTCAGTCAGAATTTCCATCGATATTGATTAATGGATACCTTAATACCTTCAAGTAGTATCTCTTTGAGGATAAGAGAAAAAGCGAAACTACTTCGTCTGAGAAAATAAATAAATACATATTACTATATTAGAATAAAAAGAAAAGTTCACATAAGAGGATTTAAAACTAATAATTTCAAATTAAAGTATTTTCATGAGCAATAATTATGTATTTATGAGCTAGAAAGCATTTTAAAACTTTCTACTTAGTTCACAAATCTTTAACTTTTTTTTTCTTTACAAAAAATACCAAGTAAAAAAAGATTAAACTCCAAAACGTCGTCTACAGATTTATGAAGGAAAAAATATAACTCAACACTAGGAAGATTTTTTAAAGTTAATGAAATATTGAAAGATTTTTCATGAACTTTAATTATTCAAATTGAAGCAAAACATTGGAAAGAAATAAAGAAATAATACTTTTTCAATATTTTTTCTTCACAATTTATTCTATCCTATTGGTGATTTTATTGTTGTAACAGATAGTTTTTTATTCTCTATAAAAAAAAAAGAATTCTAAAAAAATTTTGACAGTTTTCCGTTAAAAAAATTATTCACAAAATATTTTTCATCAACGAATCATCACTGGACATTTCCTATCCATTGAGAATACACGAAAAAAAAATTTCATACGAGGTTTATGGCATGTATGTTTTTTTTCCATCAATTATTTACTGTAAAAAATTTTTTATCACATTTTTTAATGCTGCAATCTTCCCAAAATATGAAAATACTGAGTTATTATTAATTAAATTTTAATTCAATTCACAAAAAGTTTTATTCATCATTTAGATAATGAGTCTTTTTAATTTTCCTTGAAATTAGATAAATATATAACGGGATATGTCAATTTAAATTTAGTTATATTAAATTGAAAGTTTTCCTGACCTACTTAGTATTACAAAGGCAGCTGAAACGTATAAATAATTTTAAAATAATATTTTTTTTTTCTATCAAATTTACATAGAATTACTGATGTCGTTTGGGTATTAACAATTTGTGAGTGGTCTGCAGTGTCATTTGATCCACATAAAACCTTGCAAAACTTTCCAAACTTGCGGAAACTAATTATTGCTAATGGCAATTTAACTAGAATAACTACACTATTTCCGGAGGAAGCTAAAAAGCTAGAAGTAAAGTTCAAATTTAATATTATTTTATAATAACTTGTAAAAGCATAGAACTATGATTCTTACCTTTAATATTTACGCAATGAATTTTTTTCCTCAGGACATTCATATTATAAGGACGAAGCTCTGGCATATTCCACACAATACTTTTAAAAACTTGTCATCCCTGAGAAATGTAGACTTGAGAGATAATGCACTATCAGAAATTAATCCTGAATTATTTAATAAATCTTCTACGCTGCTTCGTATTTACTTAGGAGGCAATCCTTGGAAATGTAATGAGAACATGTCTTGGATTGTCGATATTAAATATTCCTCATTAACCAAGATAATTATTGATAAAGAAAAACTCCATTGCACGGATCCTTATAAGAACCGTCCTGTCATCGCTGTAATGCAGATTATTATGGTAAGTAAAATATTATACAAAGTAAAAAATTATTGTATAAATTTAATGTTAAAATTAAGAGCTAAAAAAACAAATGAGAACGTTTTATCTGAACAAAATGTTAATTCTAATTACTTTTTCAACAATTGCAGAATTTGAAGCAGGAATGCAAATACACTGCTTGTAATTGTGAATTATTATATGTCGTCCGTCAAAATAGTAAGCATAATATCCAGAAACATTTGATGGCATTCATTACTGTAAATTGCAGTTATCTCGGACTCACTGAACTACCCAAATATCTTCCCGCAAATACAACACGGCTTTATCTACTCGGAAATAAAGTAATTAAAAAAAAACAGAGAAAAACAAGAATGAGTTTATGAATTATTTTTTTTTCTTTAAGATAATTAAAAACTTTTCATTATCTATGGTTTAATTTTTTTTTCATCAAATTGCGGTTAATGAGAGTACGTTTCCAATTTTCAGATTACTGATTTATCACCTTTAATTACCAATCCAATTTACAGACAGGTTGTAGATCTCTATTTGGATGATAATTGTATTAATTCAATTGCTCAATTGGAAGGCTCGTATTGGCTCGAACATTTTCGTGTTTTCAGTTTACGGGGTAACAAATTATATGATGTAAGATGAAATGATGTATATTTCATTAATAAGTACATTATTTATATTTGTCAATACTCTAATGTATTTTTTTAAGTATTTATTTATTTTTAATTTGTTCACAAATAAGCAGAGCATATACAATTAGTAATAATGAATCACTAGGCTCTATAAATATTGATGTTTTTTGCAGCTTCCAGCATATGCATTGGAGAATGTATTATTGAAGAGTGGAAATGCTGTTAGTATTTACCTGGGAAATAATCCTTGGACTTGTGACTGTTTTTTTACACCAGGATTCCAGGTTAGTTCATTATGTTCAATAAAAACAAAACAATTGAATGAGATATAAATTAACGACTGAAGCATATTCACTTTTGAGGAAATTTCTCACTCAATCAAGCATGAAATAAATTCATAGTAAGGCCAAAGCATCACTTAATTTAATGAATTAATTTTAGGATCTCCTGATAAAATATTCGAATATAGTAAAAGACTTGAATGATGTTCGATGTCGTTCTTCATCAGCAGAAAATGATGCTAATTCTGCTAAAATAATCAAAGATTTAACTAGAACTGAAATTTGCTTAACAGCAAATGAAGAAGAATCATCAATGCATCCACTTGACATATTGAATGTTATTCTTGGATCAATAATCATTTTTATTATTGGAAAATTTTTCTATGATTACTGGGCTTTTAAAAAAACTGGTCAGCTACCATGGATTGTTACTAAAATACCATAATGCAATCTAGATTATGTATATGTGAAAGATTAGAATAACTTACTGTACAAAAACATGCAAAAGGTTTAGATATATCAATGGTGGACGTGACTAAAATATTGTACTATTTTTTTCATGAGCTTTAATATTATTCTAGTTATAAAACAAATGTAAATAAAATACTTTCAATTGAATACAAAACTTGATAGCAATAAATCTAAATAGATAAATAATAAAACATATTTTATAGTAATTGATAATTACCTTATTAATTTGTAATAATTTTGTTTCTTCTGTATAAAATGAATATATAAATAATAAAGATTTATCTATAAAATTTAAATAGTAAAATAATAAAAATAAACAATAGATGATAAATAATTGGACTTACAAAATCGTTCAAAATGTTTAATGATAAATTTCTTAAATCAGCTTAAACTTTTTGTTCAATAAATCACTTTAAGAAGGGTTGAAAATTTTTGTCTAACTCTGAAATATGTCATCTGATCGATTTATGTGAAGTTATTTCAACAGTGAGACGACTTTTGAAATAATTTATTAAAATATCCAACATTATCTGAGAATGTTTTCAATTTAATAATGAATATTTTAAACACTTTTCTAAATAAAATACCTTTTATTTTTTCAAACTTTCATCAATAATGCAAGGAGATTTTTTAGGAATGTCTGGTCTCTTTTTAACTGATCGAAAACTATCGACTGGAAGCATAAAAAAATAAATCCAACAGTTAAAAAAGGAAATAAATTCAACTAATGTAAAAGTATAATTATAAAGAAACGAATTACTCTTTATCGGAATAGAGGATGGTTTAGGAGAATGTGAAGGCACTAAATTTTGTCGTGGTGAAGTTTTATTCTTCATGAGTACCGTACCATTTTCAGCCTCATGCTTTTGCTGACGTTGCTGCGTTTGATCTTCGTTGTAGTAGCTCTTAAAGCTGCTAACTTTATCATCATACGTTGATACTTCTACAGGGATTGGCGATAAGATAGCTTCTTTTATTGTAATAATATGGGATTCACAATTCCTGTTTTTATCCATCATTTGTTTTTGCAAATGTTCTGTACTTTTGATAGTCTCTATAGCACATTTTGTCATTGAAATCTTATCTCTATATGCTTCTAATTGATCATTCAAACTCAAACTTTGAACTTTTTTAATTTCATGTAGAGCTCTCATCTTATTCAAGGAATCAGTGCTCTTAACTTCATTACCTGAAAGACTATCTATTTACTGTATTTCGAACAAAAAATGGTCTTTAAAATTCAATTAATAGATAACTAAAGTGCACAATAACATATAATTATTATTAAACGTAATCAAATTATAATAATTTTAATAAATAAATTGAATTAAATATTATTTAATTCAATCCATTAGTCGAATGAGGAATTGAAGAATAAATTAGAGAAATAATGAATTTTCAATAAATACCAAAACCATTTGCAGAATTTGTAGAAGAATCATTGATTGATAATCGACTGATATCAATTGGTGTAGAGTCATTGAAATACGATGAATAAGACAAATGATCAATTCCTTTATTATTACTAAATTCTTCCCATTCATGAAGACTAACGCTATCATGCGAACCCTTTTTCGAAATTTTATGATCACTTTTAGGAACAATAAATTCTGGAATATTCGCATCAATATGGGACTGACGTTTTATTGAATCGGAGTTTTTCGAGGTATTTGAAAAGCGGAGATGTTCTAGATAAATTTTATATAATGACATAAATAATAGAATGAGATTCAACAGAGTAGAAAAAATTATATAAATAAAATGATGGTTTAATAATATATTTTACCTTTTTCAGTTGGGCAAGAAACAGATTTAAAATTCAAAAGAATAGATTGTGCACGATCAATAACCTCTTCCATTTCGCACAAAAGCGGTGCAGTATTTGGAAATCTTTTTATTATCGTTTCCCAAACAGCATCAGAATTTTCAGCATCTTGTAGTGACACAGGTCGTGGTAGAGTTGAGCATGGTATTTGGGTTTTATTTTTATTTGCTTCTTTGGACATCCGAGATGTCAATTTAATCTAGCAGCTATTTTAATATTATCTTCATTCACACATAACATAAATATATACTTGTATTGTTTCGTTATTTAAATTAAAAAGATGTGTATGTGTTTAGAAAAACAAAGTTTAGACAAATAAAAGCACATCGGATATACACAGAGACACGCATACAATACATCTTTCATATACATAGCTTCTGAGAGCTGAAGGACAGCTTTGTAGAACGTTTCAAATAGTTTAGATTACAAAAGTTGCAATTATTAATTAAAAACTTTTTTTTTCTACGGAGTAAGCAATTTTAAAGCAAACTAAAAATAAAAAAAAATAGATTCCAATAATTTGTAAATATTTGTTCAATCAATTTATCCTACAATTTATTGGAAATGTTTGTTTCTATTTTCGACTCTCAAAACTAACTTTAATTAAATTTTCTTCATATAATTAATTCATATTCTGAAATATGAAGTATTCAGAAAATGATTATATATAAAATTGACTGAATATTTGAGAATTATGTCATAAATTTACAACGAAGATGATCTAAAATTTTAATCACATTATTGTAAATTAAACTATTTTATTATTCTCCAAGATAACGTTATGTTGACCTATTTTTTTTTTTTTTTTATTTAAATATATATCGAATGTTCGTTTTATTTTGTTTGGTTTTCATAGAGTTATCCTAAGTTAGCTGAAGTAAAAAAAAAGAATTATGTCAATACAGCTGTTTTGTTCAGAACGCAATAAGAGTTAAATCCAATAGAAATATAAATAGAACAAAACTGCGCATTCAAATATTTTCTGCAGAATATGTCTCTCACTATTCAAGTTAACATGAATAATAAAAACTCATCCACAAGCAAAACAATTTTAATAAAAAATAAATCCGACATTTTTAAAAAGATTTTTGGGTTTTGATTTTTTCACTTAAAAGTAGAATACAACTTCTAATTAAATATTTAATTATAATGAGTCACGTGACGGATATATTAGTAATGGATATCTTTTAACGCTATGATATATTTTATTAAATCTATAAACACGAAATACAGTACATCATCACATAAGTTGTGTTGCATAATTATAGTTAAAAATGATCGTTGAATCAAGGCCACGTTGACTCAAATTTTTCACACGAATTATCGTTCAATTTATTGTTTAAATTTTTTTTTTTATTTCTTATTCTTCAACTTCCCCGTTAAATTATCAATGCAATCACAAATGTTAACTTAATGTGTACTACTCATATTATACATTCATGCGAGTATAAATATATATGCTCCTATCAAGAGTTATCAATCTTGTTAACAAAGTAAAAATACGATCGATGCCGAGGACGAGTGGCATTATTTACTACTTTTATAATTATTCGAAATATAAATATAAAACTTAATTCACAGTATATAATTTGAGTGATAGATAAATATAAGATTTACAAATATCTAAAGCAAAAAAAATACTGCAGGCTGTCCTACTTAGCTTATTTTTTAGATAGTACTGATTAAGATTACTGGCAGTGTAGGTAGAAAAGTGTTTCACACTGAAAGAAGAGTTTAAATAAAGTTAATGAAAAATCTATATGGCCAATGTGCTTTGAAAGTAATTGACAATTCATTCGCTATATTTATTACATTGATTTTACTTGAAAGAAATTATTTGACACAAATATTGACTTATTTCTATGAGTTTTCTACTCTCCAAATAAACAATATAAATAAAAGTTCTTTAAATGATCTTTCTCATTTTCGGAATCAGTATAAAAAATGAGTCACGTAATTAATTTATTGTGTATTGATTCTAAAAATTATCAATTACCTATATAGTCACTGTTTCAAGTTTTTTGACCTCGACAACTCAGAACAAACAACCATTAATTTATTTCATTTACTGCATTGATTTTACCTCAGTTAAATACAAATAAAGTTATTCTTATATCCTACACTCGGTAAATAAATCACAATCATAATAATTAGTACAGAAAAATGTTATTTATTGAATAGTCACACATGGTTCATATTTAAGGCGCCTCCAGCACGAAAGCATACATTACCAGTATAAAAAATAACTAATTGCTTTTAATTTGTAATGAATGTATGCTTACTCTCCTGTCACTTTTTTTATTCGTCCAAATGAAGCCAATCTGTCAATGAAATATATTTTAAAGTCTATGTTTAACTTCTCCTTATAAAAAAATTGATTATTTTTTCAAGATAGCTTGACTGATTCGATTCAAAATCTAATCAATTCTAAGCTGCTTCAAAGTATATAAAAAAGTTTAAAATCGAAATCAATTGAACCATGTTTAAGACATATTGTTGGTGATTTTTTTTTAAAAATACAATTCTACTTAACTATATTTGGAAAACAGTTCTAGTTTTTTTATTAACTGTAACAAAACTGAAAATAGAAAGTCCTAGATCTCATTCCCGAGTGACTCGTAACTTAAATTGCAAAATGTTCTAATTGCATTTGCACTATAAAATTTGTTTTTTTTTAGAAATAAAAATCATTTTTTTTAGACTGCTTTTATTTAAAAAGAATCCCAGGAAAAAAATTAAATAGAATTATTTATCGTTTTCCATCAATATAAAGGTTCATTCGCAATCAATCTCCCAGTTGTTAGAAAGAATAGTTGTATCTTTTAGAGCACTTCTCGTTGAAGAATCGTCGGCTCTTAACTTGATTCTATGAAGAATGAAGTTGAGTGGTGATTCTCATGTAAATTTTATTCCATTTAGACTAGTTGTTGACGTTTAGTTGTTACGCAAAAAATTTTTCCATTTCTCAATGAATCCTTTAAGTGCTTGAGACACCTTAATCATGTCAATATATAAAAAATTTATTTACTAAAAAAACAAATAAATTGGTTGAACAAACTTAGGTAAAAGAAAAATCTCTTTATAGTTGACGAGTGCTTTATAAAAGTTAGAAATAAATACTTTCAGTAACTCGTTCATGAATTCTTCTCTCAGTGCAAAAAGAGTTTCTATTTAATTCCAGTGTAAAGTGACTCTAAATTCTATAAGCTGACAACTTAACTCTTTTTATTGAATTTTCTTTGCAGCAATGTTTCACTCAGCTTTCTTCTTTCTCTACTTAATGAAGTGAGTTACAGTGATAGTAGTAGAAATAGTACTAATGATGCGACAAATCAAGCTCACTGCTCGAACAGTTGGATTGTTGATACGCTTAATTCTATCACAGCATGCGGATGTTGTGCTTGCGCTTTAAATACATACAGCATCGCACTATAAAATCAATTTGTTTCTTTAATGAATACGTCTTTAATTGTAAAATAACTTAACTAACATGTAAAAATGGTAGATCTACAACGTTTTTAATATTATTTATTAATAATTATAATTAATTACTATTTTTACTGCGCATATTAATTACTACATGCCACTTGCGGTTAAGATTATTGCACAGCCAATATCGAATTCATATAAGTTTATATATTTTTTTTTTCTCCTTACACTTATCATCAAATAAAGTACGAAATTATTTTTTTCATTCATCAAATTATGTTCATACTTTTACCTAAATTGATTATTAATATTAATTATATTTTATAGCATAAAAATTAGTCTTCATGTAAAAAAGATTCAATAAAATTTACCGAATATATACAATTAATTTGTTTTTCGCTTCAATAGAGAAATAGTTTTATTTAAATGTAAGATGTGGTTATTAAAACTTTTTTTGTATTAAAAAAAATGATGAAGAATGAGAGATGAGCGTACTTAATGCTTGAAAGCAATGTTGCCACGAAAAAAAAAGAAATCCTTCAAGCATTTTAAGGTTGAAAACTGTCAGTTAATTCTTCCAAGTTAAAATAAAATTTAATATATACTTTCTCGTAAACGTTAAATACGGTTTAAAATAATCTAATGTGAACTTGTAGACTTATTCTATATTTTATAAGTATATTAACCTATTGTTTCGTTTTAACTCAAAGATAGATATTACAGAAACCACATTTAAAAAAAATTTAAAACATATATGATATTTTTTTGATGTTCATCATATCGAAATAGTGTTAAAAATATGTACATTTTTCTAGAGTTTCGATGTGAAGCAATTTTAAAAATGTTGTGAATAAATCAACAGATAAAAATCTGTCATATGTACATTTTGATGTATTGAAATTTTAATTCACAAATTATTTCAAATATTTATTCACGAATTTTAGTTAATACTTTTAAAAAGTATTTTGTTATTATTACAGTATAAAAAAGTTTTTTATTTGATTAAAATTGATAATTTCAATTCGTGGCAACACTGATAACCAGAAGGTTAAGACAAACTAGTTTGAAACTTTCTTTCTTATTCCGATTCTTTCAAATATTAATTAATACAGTAATAATAATGATGATACGAAAAAGTACAGTTTTATGAAATTCTTAATTATCGACTAATTGAAATTCCATTAAGTATATTTAAAATTTCTCATTTATGATACAGTACAGTTGAGCATTCCATTTTATTTCTTCTTATTTATTCCAAACCTATCGAGTTTTTTTTTTTTTGTTTAAAAATCTTTTTTCTATTTGTCATTCATGGTTTTACAATCTTTAAATAACGTTATATACCGCAAGTACTCTCCATCCTACATAAAACACAGCGACTTAATTTTTAAAATTTTTCATTCATTATGGTCTGTTTTATGTATTTATCAGTTTCTTTGTTCTTTGACTTAATAAATAATTTGCTCCGCTACCTGCAAGTAAGTGAACTATAGACGTTCTAAAGGTACTCGCTTAATTATGTATCAATCGCGTATGTAAATTTCATTCTTTATTATTGCGACAAATATACGTAATTTAATAAAATTGGTATAAGTATATTTTTTTTTTCCTATTTGTGATTTTTCTTTAAAGGCTTATACAATACTAATCTGTGAAATATTTTTTTTTGGCACGACATTATTTGTATTTATTGCAAATCTTACGTAAAAAATAAAAATATTAGTATCAGTATTAAATATTGTTTGTTTATATCCACAATTGATGTAAACAGCTTTCTGTCATTCTATATTTAAAATTTCTTTTCTTTTGTTAATTAGTAGAAAAAACAATAAAAAACAAAGATTAATAATAATTCATACAAATGAACTTGTTTTTATATAGATATAATATAAAATACTTTTCTCCACTTTTTCATTAACCTTTAATAACAAAAGCTGCATTGTTAAGGTTAAACAATAGGATGAACAGAAACTAATAAATAATAATACTGTTGATTAATTACCCAACGTAATTGAAGTGTTTTGGCTATGTTGGTCATAATTCTTCTCAACGTGAACATAATTTATTAAACGAATAAAATTATACGCTAATAAATAAGTTTTAATAATTTAAAAAAATAAATTTTTCTCTATTGATAGTAATTATTTCAAGCAGTTCAGATAAAAAAGTAATTCAAGTATTGAAAAATAATTCCAATTATGTGGAAAATTTCTTTTTTTAACTTTCATTATTATTTTTTATTCAAATAAGTATTCCACTCTGGTTAAGAATAGTTTTCCTTTTGTAAGAATACGATTCTACGAGTATCATAGAAGACTCTATAACAAATCATTATAAAAAGTATTGATGAAATGAATCAATAAAGCTATATTTTTTTCTTTTGAATAAATTGAAAATATATTTGTTACAATAGTAGTTACTTTTTTATTGCTCTGTACTCCAAATAACTATCATATTGTGCTTATAATTGAATGTAAATAAACAAATATATTATGGTAATTGTAATCATACCGTAGTCTCCACATTGACGGTGGCGTATTGTCAACAAATGCTGTCCTTGCCGTAATTATCAATGTACACATCTTGTGGATTAGCGATACTATTATACTGACCACTCAATTGACCACTACTTGTTAAACCATTATTATGATGATGGGTATGATTAACATGGACATTATTAACATTCAGTGAGTTGACCGATTTTTTCTTCTTTTTCTTTTTCTTTTTTTTCCGCAATTTATGTCGATATAAGCAGTATTTCAGACAGCCAGTAGCAAGAAGTAAAATGAGAAATATACCCAAAATACCTGCTCCAATGGCTCCATACAGTAGTGTTTCTCCAAAACGATAAGAACAGTTGATCTCTTCTTCGTCAAATCCTGACGGGCAGTGGCGGATCCCATCACACCAAAGTATAGAACTAATGCATGCTTGAATTTCTGGGCATCTAGTAAAAACAAAAGAGAAAAATTTTAGTTTTTTTATGATTGATCGATTCTTTAATATGATTTTAAAAGTCATGTTGAATATTTTAATAAACATACTTCACAATCTCATTCTGTCAGATTAAATTATATTAATAAAAATAATCCCATTCAAATAAAATTCTTTTAAAAATTAAATACTAAATAAAAAAAATCTATAATTTTTTGTCAGTTGATTCACGTTTATTTAGTAAATGTTGAATTATTCGAGAAAACAAATGTTAGAATAAATCTGGAAATAAAATTATTTGCGAACGTAAAATAATGAGAGAAAACAAAGTTTTTTTATATCGAACATGTAGACGACACAAAGGATTAAAAAAATTTCGTTGAATACAACCTAATATAATTCTAGCATATAGGAGATGAATTAATACAAGCGAAGTTTCAAAGTGTTCGGATGGAATAAATTTTTTACGAAAATTGAAGAGCACACAAATCACGGAAATTTACAACAAATTCAGCTAATGCTAGTAGGAACATATAGTGAAATATAAATTACCAAATTTCCCGTTTAACTCATAATAAAATTTCTCATTACATAAATACAAAATCTTTCTACTATCTATCCAGGAATAAATTATTGAATTACTGAATTATACATTTTGAAATGAAAATAATTAGCAGTCAACAATAAAGAACATTTTTATTTAATATTCATGATATTTTATTAGTTTCTCTATAGAAAGAATAAACTATCCAAAGAAAACAATATACTCTTTGATTTTCTGTAAAGTAGTTTGTTAAAAATGTTGAAAGACTTCAACAGCAACGATTTTATATGAAAAAACAATATTTTAAAACAAAGATTAATTCATAATATTTTAAAAAGAAATGCTTGATGAAAAAAAGCTATGATGTACCCTTGATATGTAATTAATTTGGAAAAATAAAAAACTAAATGAAACTTGAGTTAAAATTATTTTCATAATCTTGAAAATAGAGTGAAATGTTTTCATCATGATTCATTTATACGTAGTATATTTTGATATAATTCTATTTCTCTTTTGATGCCAAAATTGTCAAGTATGTTTTGATGATGTGTTTTGAAAACGTTGATGAACCAATTTAAAATCTTATTATTTACATACATTATTGTAAAAAAAAAACATCAAGTCAAGAAATAAATAAGATTTTATAGCTAATCCTACTGAAATGAAATAAATTTCCTCCTCGAAACTTCTTGACGTCATGGATTAGATTACATTTATCAATTCCCGTAAGTGTCAAACTAAATTGTTTTTATAAATATATATATTCAAATAATATTGTCAGAGCCAATCAAATCGCCAAGAAAGTGACAGCAATTTATTAAATTTAATCTAATTTTTGAAAATATGAAAATACCTTTTATTTGTCAAATTTTCATAAAACAATAAAAGTTGATAAAAAAAAAAGAGAGTGATTCATCATTTTTCATGAAAATTTTTGAATAAAGTAATATTTTAACAGACAAGACTTATTTCACATTTTAAGAACCATTCATTTTTACGACATAAACATGGAATTCATACCTGTATGGACATTCATCAGCAGAAGTCAGAATAATCGCATTATTACTGTTATCCCCAGGATATTGAGAAATGGAAGCACTTCTTCTTGAAATCGCAATCCACGATACGCTGTAAGTGCCAGGTTCCTTTTGAATAAATTCAATAACAAAACTTCTTGAGTGCTGTGCTATTGGATTAAATGATGGAATAGCTCCATTTGTCACTGAATAATTCCATCCTCCTGAGAAAAAGTCTACAGTTTTCGATTTACCATTGTCAATCTTATGTAACTCTGGACATATTACACTTTTATCTCTTGTGTTAACTGCAGAATAAACAATAATTCTATTAAGAGTTTTACAGTCTGCAATATTATCAGCATTAATCGTGAATCCAGTTGTTCGTAAATAGAGGAAATTTATTCGAGGGTCTTCTGGTTCAATAAGCCAGGGTTCACTATTAACACACATTAATTGAGTTGCAGTGAGATCTTCAGTGTTCTCAAGTACTTCTTCAACAGCTGCTTTAACGTCAGCAGTTACGTAATGTTTCATAGAAACTATAGGACTTTTCATCGATATTTCACCACTAGTTCCACGTAGTCTACGTTCTTCAAACCTTGATGGACATGAAGATGATAATTGATCATTACTCTCTGTATTATCATTATTATTATTACTATTAGAAATAAATCGATATTCTCCTTCGAAAAGAAAATCGTTGTAATCTTGAGTAACATTCATGTGCGTTACTGTGAATATGAGCTCAACAATATTGGAAGTTAGCGATGTGAGTGATATTCGATCGTGGGTTATATTTGAGCAAAAACAATCACGAATAAGTTGAATACCAGGCCATGGGTATTCCGTGACGACGAGCTCAGCATATCCATTTATTTTGATATCTGATGTGCGTCGATCACACGTCCATCGATTTACCAAAGGATCCACGTATGACATGCATATCTTATCGCCGAAGAAAGCTTTTGAAATAGTTATCTCTATTTTTTGATCGGCTTCAGCTTCAAATCGATATACACAACTTAGATTGTGAGCCCCACCACGCCCATAAAAAAATACACTTTTTGGAGACGTAAATTTACCGGAAATCCCAGTAGATTTTTTCATGGAAGATCCCACGTGATTTGACGAAGACTTGGCTGATGATGCGAAGACGAGATGGCAAGACATTGCATTGTGAACGAATTCATAGCGTAAGACAAAGCTTATTGGATACAGTGCACTGCCTTGACGTAGGATGTGTTCCAGTGTTAAATCTCGACCCGTTGAGACATAACTTTCTGCTAGGCTGCACGGACGTGTATGACGGCTACTGTTTCGTAAAAGACTATGATCACATAGGACAGGTATTTCATCCTTGCAAAATTGTCCCATCAATCGAATTTTCTGTAACAACATGACCAAACATTCTTTCATTATAAAACAATTCATTATACACTGTTTATCTATTTAAATTATATGTTATAAACCACCGATTGAAATTAATCGAGATGAATTTATGAGAAAAAGTCAAAAAAATTATTAATACTCTATCAATTGATCATATTCCATGAGTAATGAATTATTATTTATTTATCAAAGTATTCAATATTGTACATATTGTGATAAATGCATTATTCATTTTTAATGTTTGTTCTATTATTAATATTTGGATGTAGTACGAATTGTTTTAACAATACATGATTTAATAACCATGTACTTTCATTTTGAAATAAAATGTTTTACCAAACATCAAGTCTATGTCATTAAAATTCAAGTATTGAAATAATGAATAATGCATTGAACAAAAACTATCATTTCAAGTATCCTATTAGAAATTATGATAAAATCAATGAACATAAAAACACTTTCAATAATGTGAGCAACAATATTTATCAATAACATACCTTCTCTGCTTGTTTTTCAGATGATTGTAAATCACCATCCCAGATGATAAGTTTAGCATTACACTCGTTATTCGTATCAATACTTGCAGTCGATGGATCTGTACTTGCTGAATAATATTTTACAAAAGATATCCAAACAATTTCATTTGGTTTTCCATGAAAGTGGTATCGACATGTTGTATTGGGTGGCAGTGAGTGTTTGGGATTTTCAAGTATACCCGATGGACTTTCGTAGCTGGTTATATAGAAGTCACAGTTTGAGTTTTCTTTGACAAAACTTCGAGATTTGTCATCGACAAAAAGTACGTGAACTTCGAGTTCGAAACCCGGCAGAAACGACAAGGGAACGGGATGAAAAGGATTATCATACGGGGACGTATGAAATTCAAGGAGCATGGTATTATGACTACTGACAATATCTGGTACTGTGTCACCACCACAAAGACGCACCAAAACTCTATCTGTTGTTGAGCCTCCGTCATAGACAGTCAAATAATCTTGAACAACGTTACATTGATCCCATACCCTGTAAATCAGAAATTAATGGCATTTTACATTACATGGATCTTCTCTGAACTCTTCAAATACTAATTAATATGAATCATAATCATATATTCATTGGATATTCACTGATAAGTTTCATCAATTAATTATTTCAAAAAGTTCTGCCATTATTTTAATAAAATATAATTTAAATTTCTTGAAAATTAATTTATTAATAAATACAATTAGATTTATTAACAGTTACTAATTTCATACCGCTGTCAAAAAAGACTTAAATTTATCCGTAATTGATAAACAGTGCAAAAAGAATTTTAATTATAAAATTCATATCATTCTGCAAGAATACTTTGTTTGATAATAAAGTGAATTGTTTAGAGAGAAATTTTAACGGTCAATGATCTATCAGCATTTAATAAACGAGTATTTTGTTAAAATTGAATAAAGAGTTTCAGTCTAGCTAATAAAAATTTCATCGGATATCGTCTATAAAATTAAATAGATAATCAAAGCCTTAAAAAATATTCACTAAATATTTTAATATTATCTACTATCAATGAGATAAGTGATATTTAAAAAATTAATATAATTAAACATTCAGAAAGTAAGAATTTTTAATACAACGAGATTTTTACATAAAACTTTTCGACCGTACTACTCAAGTATCTCAGAGAATTTCAATGCAAATTGCTGTAGAGAAAAAGAACCCTATAAAAAATTAATTTTTTCTCTTTACAGTAAAAACTTATTTCAATAGAATTCATCGAAATTTAATCAACTGGATTATTATATTATATTATTACTTCAAATCTTTTTAGATTTAATAACGCAATTTTTCTAAAAATATAGTTATTGGAATAAATCTTTTATTAATTAAGAATCAATATTAAAAAAAAAAATCAACAAAAAACAAATAAATAACCAGATTTCAATTTAAAATGAAAAAAAAAATAATCGAAGCTTAATTTAGTGTACAAAAACTAGAATGCTTTGTAAAGCCATTTTGATAATGGCCAATTATAAAATGAATTCTTTTGTCAAGTTAAAATAAATATTTTATCCACATCACATTCTAATAAAAATTTATTAGATTCAAATCGAATGTTATAAATGTAAATAAATTCTTTTCTAAGAGTACTCTACGTACCTCAATATTCGCTGACTCCGATCATATTTAACGACCTGATCTTTGATGTGAATTTTATGACTATTCCGTTGATTCACAGCGAGCAAGGCCCTGTGACCAGGTGGTGCCCGTTTATGTTCAATTCGATAATAACAAGTAACATTCCGTGGATAAACGCCAGGATAATTTGGTGATTGGAGACGACATGCTCGAGTGTCACATCTTGTGAGAACTCGGTCACAATAAGTTCCATTTACTAAATCTCCGCGCCATGTGGCCATAGTATTATTTCCATATCTTAAATGAGCTTCACTTTTTTTCAAAAATTTATACGACAATTTGAAATCAAAGTTATATCCAATACCCTGTAACAAAACCAACAATTGTAACCTGTTATTTGGCCATCTATTGAATGTTCACATCAAAATAATTGAAATTTAATTGTTAAAATATGTATTAAATGTAAAATAATCCCTAAGCAAACATTTAATAATGTTTAATGAAGAGTGAAAAATATGAGTATGAATTGTGATTATGATATTAAAATAAATTTTCCAATATCGGTTTAATTACTGATTTAATCATAACTTCATTGGATACCTGTTCCGATAATCTGGCAAGATAAAGTGTGAGATTAATGGAAGGTGTTTCACTATAATAGACAGTATATCCCCATGCACTTCCACACCATTGTCCGCCTGTTGCTGGTCTACCTGCTTCACGGATCGTCATAAACCCATCAGGACAACCTTGATTTGTGAATGACAGGAAGCGGCCAACAGTAAATGTATCGAACGTCAGCTAAAATTAACAAAGAAAGTTTTTTTCAATTATAACTTTTGCACTCAAAAAAATAAAAGTTTTACTATTATTATTATTATTATTGTTATTATCATCACTATTACTACAGTTATTACTTTTATAATAATTTCAAATATTTTTTTTGAACCATTTAAAATTCTAATTAATGTAAATTGACATAAGATTCAGTAGCACTTTTTTTTGTTACTCATATTACCTGAATTAAATCCCCATAATTGCCACTTGCAGCCGTAAAATTAAGGTGGCAAATAAACGGTAATCGATCCTCTCGAGGACGACGGACTTCCACTTCATACGTTCGTCCCACATCACCATAAAGTGTTCTATTGCAAGCTGCAATGGAACAATTGATTTGTTGGAATTTAATTGGCAATAATTGTTACACATTTACTAAAGAACAAACTATTTTTAAAAAGAAATCAATTAATTAATTAACGAATACATTCTTCAAAACATCAATAAATAAATAAAATATTTACGAGTGCAATATTTTGGCTCATCTGATTTGTCCGTGCAATCATTCTCTCCGTCGCAAAATTTATCTTGCGCGATGCAGTGATCGTTTTCACATCGGAATTCGGATAGGCGACAGCCAACTTCATTTTTTAATGTAACTGCAGTAAAAGGACTGGCAACGGGAGTTCCATCGACGTATAAACCAAATCCTAGGTAACTAATAAACGCACCAGGGCAGTGACCGATTGCTGCAAGCGCAGCTGCGATCAGCAATCGCCGGAACACCAACATGCCCCTTCACCCTGCAATAACATGGAATCAATAAGACTAATTCAGCTATCCTTTCGTCTAGATAAGAGTCTCTTTAGATACTTCTATACAAGCTAACTTCCTCGATCAAACTTTATTAGGCTATAAAAGGAACCGTTCTTTTTTTCTTTTATTCAACACAACTAACTACTTTCTCTTTAAAAGTTATTTTATTTTTCACTATCCTTTAATTCCAGTATCAGTAGTTTTCATCTATAAGTTAATTATAAATAGATAAAGAATTATTTTCCACGAGTAAACAGTTCTCATACTGAACTGAATTTATTTTGATTCGATAAACAAATGTTACTCATGCAGAAGTGAAACAATATACATTCTCAACATCATTGAAGCTAAATAGATTCTCTCATATATTGGAGAATATTGTTTTTAACGTCCACTAAATTATACAAAATTAAAAATATATGTTATTAATGAATTACTCGTTGAACATAATAAAATTTTAAATATGAACCAAAAAAGCATGTTGATAATTTGATACTTCATGAGTTTTTTCATTTTACATTTGATAAAATAAAATATTTTTTTTAATTAAATTGAAATACCATCAAGATGAGAGTGAACACTTTTTTTATCAACAAAAAAAAATATTATTCTATAATTAAATCACAAATTTTAAATTAATTGTAATATTTGCAAATCACATTCTAGAGTATAGAATAACAATAAAAACAAGACAAAAAAAAATTTGTGCAAGAGTAAAATTTAATAAAGTTTCATGAACTATTAATTATTATCTACTAGTGTCACGTTCACAGTGACAATTTCTTTTTCAATGAAATAAAACTAGTGTTTATGACACTAAACTTTTTTCTGTATACAATGGACAAATCAATTTCGTAATTAAATTTTAGCTTAGTCTATTAATTTAAACATTAAATGTTAAATCTAAAGTGGAGTTCGATTGAAAAAACTTTGTCTCTACAAAGTTTTAAAAAAACATTACATGACAGCCACGTAATCTCTCTTTTCTTTTTCTCCCTCTCTTTCTATTTTTTTTTCCTCAAGTTTTTTGTCATTTTTTTGTAGTTTTATCTTCCTGATTTACATTGTCAAGTTGAAACTTATAGATGTAGGTATTAAACTTGAATAATTTATGTTAAATTAATACGCCACAGCTTCAGCAAGTAGAAAAAAAATTCAATACAGTAGTTAAGTTAGAGCTTAATCCTTAAATATATATCCTCAATGTGAACGAAAGGAGAGATGAAGCATCCACTTTTATAATTCATAAATATGTAAAATAGAAATTATTATACTTTATACGTTATATACTAGATAGGACCAAGTCGTTCTTGAAATTACATCGGAGAATAAAATCACGGTGGAATTCATAATTTCCCTTTATGGCATACTTTTTAATTAAGATAACAATGTATAATTGTGAGAAAACTTGAACGTTAACGATCAAAATTACAGTTGTATTAATAAAGCAAGATAAAATTCATAGTACCAAAATATACACGCTTGAGTACATGCGTATAACGAGGACCATACTGAGAGGATATATATTATAAGATGTAGAGCATTCGTGTAATTACAAAATAAAAAAATATTGTTGAAAATATTACAAAAAAAAAAACATCTCTCATGTAAATCACAAGATTTTTTCCAGTTACTCTTTTAACAGTAATTAAAATTTATTTTTATTTTATTGAAAAAATATAATTTAGAATTTGTGATGCATTTAATGTGACATTGAATGGATTATTGAAATCAACAATGAATTAAATTTGATTATTATTAACTAAATAGACTATACACTTTTGTTTTTTTACTAGTTTTAATTAATTTGAGAGTAAATAATTAGTTTATAATTACGAAAAAAATATTGTAAGCAAGTTTAGTTAGGTATTCATGACTTGAAATTAATATTTCTAAGAGATGAAAAATTTTGATCTTAAGATCAAGGTACGTTGAACAGTAATAAAGATGGGTTAGACCCGCATGAAAAAAAAACTTGAGCAAAAAGACATTTAGGGAATTGATTTTTATGATACAGTAAAAAAAGGAAGATTAACTGAAATTCAGTAAGAATGATTAAAACAATTTTATAATAGTATTATAAGATAAATGATGTTGACAACGACATGCAAAACAAATAATACCACATGTACAAATTGATTGATTGGATTTTACAGAGTTAAAAATAATCCATTCATTAATTGAAATTTGATTGGTAATAATAAGCAAGCTCGTGAATAATTTAAATTATAGAAATATTTGAAATTTATTGATTGCTTGAGCTATATTTAATTTGTTTGAATTGTAAATCGGAAATGTATTCAAGATTAAAGATTAGCAAATGACAATGTACACATATACATAATGCTTATGAAAAAAGTAAATATAGCGAATTAAAAGTCATACTCACATGTCCAATATTCCGTGAAGTGAGGGGTGTCTGTAGCGTAGAACACTCGTATGATACTATACGAGGATTAAAAAGGGCCTACAAAGGGCGACTGAACTTGAATGTAATGTAAATTTGGCTGCAGCCTTATGCTTCGTAAGGAGAACAATTACAGAGCTGATGATGTTGATGACAATAATAATAATAACAACTTTTCAAAAGGTTTCACATGAGCTTTCACATTAGACATTATAAGAGTAATAAAAAATTGAGTAAAAAGACCTTCAGCAGGTCACTGACACGTAATTCGTCATAGTTCAATACAACTATTGCTCGCCTCCATATCACCCGATGCGAACCGAGTGAAGGATCTCCTATGCTTAACTGGGGAGTACGCTGCAAGCTCGGCCAGGCTGCCGGGGGTAGTACTCGCAAAGTGAAGCGAGAGGAACGATCTGGTAGTGGTGAAAACGACAGGAACTACTATGGTAAAGTTTGCTGTAGTGGTTGCTTGCTTGCTTGCCTACGTTCTTCTCCATCTCTCTCTCTCTTTCTCCCTCACTTACACCCCCAAACTCTCTCTCGCGCACATTCGTTCACTTACATACACTTTATATATACACATGACTCGAGCTGCGCAGCAGCCGCGCAAACGACCCGGCCAAAACCCGACCCCCGGCAGCAGTATTACACCATGGGACCTCAGCATTCGAGCTAGAGCCACCCCAGCAATCCGTCCCCTCCCGAGCTTTTCTCAGCCGCCGATTCTCCACCCTTTCATTCGCGCCCCAAGCTACATCAATCTTTATTCTTTCTTACCGACTCCATCCATACGTACATACGCACCACTTCATTGTAATTTCATTAACTTTACTTGCAAATAGACACGTTAAATCACTTCTATATATCCCCTACTGACCATCACCATCGTATATACACCAACATAAAAATAGAAAAAAAAGTACTTTAAAAGCAATACGAAATACATACACTTGTACGTGAAACTAACAGTGTAAAATAGAAAAAAAAATTTTCAACGAGTATAATCTTAAATCTTTTTCCCTTTTATACTGATACAATACTGTTTTTTCGGAAAAAGTTTTATTTTGAACTAAAAAAAAAATAAATAAAAGCAATGATGGAGTTGAAAAAAATTTGTGGTGCAAAAGATCTTATACTTTTTCAATATCACGAGCACACTGAAATGCAGAAACTAAGGCATTTAGTTGAACACTTTCGGAGCATCCAGCAGCAGTACGTTTTTCGATTTCTGCCAATTTAATGATTAATTCCATGATGATATTATCTGGTAAATCAACTGCAAAGATAAATGAGCAATTAATAAAATAGATTATTAATAAGCTGAGAATACAGATTTAAAATTTTGATATTGACTACGTACTTCTATTAATAAATGTATGGAGCTGCGTCAGAATATCTTGTAAAGCGAGACCTTTTTTAAGCTTTAAATCTTCCACTTCTAATAAAGTAATTAAGAAATTACATAGTTCATTTAATTTTATGAAAAGAATAAATATGACGTAAAAAATTTGAATTTGATTGAATAAAAGTTAATTGATTCATTATCTATTATACTAATAAGATGAAAAGGATACTGGAATAAGCCATCATATATTGTTCATTCAATAACCAGTTGACGATATTTTTTATATCCACTGGTAGTGGATGACCCACACATAAGTAAACATTTTCTTCAGTAACTGATCCAAATGCCAGCCAAGTACTTTGAAGGACATTAATGACTTTTCGCATGTCACCTCCACTCAAAGTCATAAGAGCTTTTTTGCCATCTTCTGTTACTGAAATACTACAAAAATGAAATATATATAAATAACTCTAAAAATAATTCTAAAAATTTATAAAACCACAAAAACTAATATAAAACTATTTCAGTAAAAAAATATTGATCAACGTCTATTACTTTTCCTCTTTAATCACATGCTCTAGTCTGGGTAAAATTTGGTCGGGGCTCAGTGGTCCAAATCGGAATTTAGTGCATCTAGATTGTAATGCAGGTATGATTTTACTCAAATAATTACAGATAATGCAAAACCTAACATTATCTGTATATTTTTCCATTACTGAAACAAAAAAGCACTTAATGATTATGTTAACAACTATTCTTAATTTGTTATTTAATATTAAATACTTCGTCTGAGAGCATTTTGTGCATCATTAGTCATAGCATCTGCTTCATCAAGGATAATTAATTTAAATCCAGATTTGTACATGGTTCCGGTACTCGCGAAGCTTAATATTTGTCCTCTCACACTCCCAATCCCTCTATCGTCTGAAGCATTTAACTCTAATACCTGTAATAAATGTTTTTTTTTGTTAGAAGATAATTATTATAGTAGGAGTTATTTTTCAGGCATTATAATTCATCCTAGTTCTGATTTATTCCACTTTTTTTCATTTTTAATCATTCTAATTAAAGAAATTTAGAAGCAATTAAACTCCGCAATTAAATCACGCTCTATTATGAGTTGAATATGCTCGGAAAATACTTCTATTAAAAATTCCGAATTCAACTTTTCTAACATTATTTTTTTTATGCTCAATTTTCATCTATTCTATTGAGAATATATCATACTTATTTTAAAATGTCCTATTTAATATATTCACTGATAAAATTAACCTTAGTAATTACATTATAAGATAATTATAAAATAAAAGACTGTATTTCATTGGGAATATGACACTCATAATTTTGTCTTTGAATTCACTATATATGTGATTTAACAAAGTTGTATAAATTGACAAAGTTATAATTATTTACTCTATCAATAAATGTAATGAAACATTTTTAATCTTTTTATTGTATTTTATGTTTCATAATGCATACCTTACCTTTCATTGATTATAATATTAATATAATTATTGTTTACATTAAAATCTGTAAATTACATTACATACCATTGAGTTAAACTGTGCAGGAGTATAAAGCTTTTTAGCGCAGGCCAAAATCGTACTAGTTTTGCCAGTACCAGGCGGGCCATACAGTAACAAATGTGGCAAGTGATTCTCATCGATGAACTTGTTTACTAGAATCAATTTTTTTTTATTTTAGAGATAGAAAAATAAATATGCTCTACTTGAAAAAATAAAACATTCAGAAGAAGTACTTTCATTACATTTGTAAACTGAAGTAAAGTCAACGTATAAATAATTCATAAACCATTTTAATGAATAAAAATGCGTATACTCACTCGTTCTGATAATATCCTCATGTGAGATAAGATCATTTAAGGTGGAAGGACGATATTTTTCAACCCTTTAAACATAAAAATAAATATATAATGTTGACAGTATTTCTTAACCTCACTCTTTTAATTACAATTGAATTAAAAAGTTTTATCATTTAAAACATTGGTTTTTGGAGTTTTTAATGAATTTAAATCTTTCTATTTAAATAACATTTATTTACCATGGTAAATTTATTTGTTTTTTTGATCCCATTGTGCAAATACTTTTTCAATAATTCACACACAATACACCGGTAAAAAGAGCGGGTTTTTAGTGAATACACACACAAACTCAAATTTCTAATAATATGACGCTATTCTAACCTATTTCAATTTTTACATTGTTGTTCTCATATACACTACACATTATTTGTCTCATAAAGTACTGATTTAATTGCAAAATATTAGTGGATTTGATTTTTATATATCAACAGCTACAAACAATTATTAACTAAGAAAATCAAAAAATGTTTGAATTTTAACTTTCAGCAACTGAAATTGCTAAAGTAATTGTTACGTGAGTATTTTTAAAAATATTCAATTTTGAATATTTTCAAATAAAGTTATTAATTACTAGTATATTTTTTATCATTTTCAATTTTTTATTTTAATTCATGTATGATGCAATTTTATCTAATTAGTGATGATCAAAGCACTGTTTATTCATTTGAAATGTAACTATAATTATTAAAAATAATTATTAATATTTCGATTATGAATGAATTTTATCAATACCACATCAAAAATTTTAACGTATAATTAATGTTTGAAAAATTTAAATCATCAGTTTTGAAGTAATAGAAAATCTTATTTAATTCATAAATATTAAATTATTAAAATGATTGATTATCTTTTTTTAATTGAAAAATATAATATTCATTGAATACTCACAAATTCAAGTTGTCTCTATGAAATAAAAAATGATAAATATTCTTTTTCCAGACTTGTCCAGTACATAATCAAGATGGCAATAAATTTGATAGCAAGAAATGCTAGAAAAGTCCGACAAAATAATTTAGGTCAGAGGTTCAAATATCTATTAGTGCTTGATTTTGAAGCAACATGTGATAAAGATACTATTATAGAGCCACAAGAAATCATTGAAGTTCCATGTATTGCTGTTAATACACAAAATTGGAATGTAGAAAATACTTTTCATGAATATGTAAAACCAAGGATCAATCCAATACTTACTCCATTTTGTACAGATTTAACAGGAATTATGCAAGAAACAATTGAGAATGAAAATCATTTTCCTGTAGTCTTTGATAAATTTTGTAAATGGCTTGAAGCTAATAACTTCACAAACAATCCGGAGCAAAGTGCTTTTGTCACTTGTGGAGATTGGGATTTGAAAGTTATGCTTCCAAATCAATGTACACTAGATAATATACCTATACCCAGTTATTTAAAGCAGTGGATTAATTTAAAAGCAGTATATTGCGAAGCAACAGAATATTTTCCACGAAGTTTAAAAGACATGTTTAATAAATTTAAATTACCTATGGAAGGAAAACTTCATTCTGGAATTCACGATACGATGAATATGGTAAAAATTGTCCAAATATTGGGCTCTACATTTCAAACGAGATTTAATATAACATCATCATTTTCTGAATCTGACAAAATTAATAAATGAGTGTAATTTTATTGGGTCTTTTATAATTATTCTTTGATTACTTATAGAAATATGTTTATTGTTTATAAAAAATGTTGATACAAAAGTATAAAAATAAATAAAAAATATTTCACTTACATGACAAATACATTGCAAATAATTAGAGTATATTTAATGTTTTTTAGCATTTAAAACTTTTACAGAAACTTGATGTTTTTTATTGGCTGTATAAATTTCTAAGAGAGCTTCAATGTTCTTATTAATACTTTGTTTACATCGTACGGAGAGAAGTACACTTCGATTAGCAGAGATTATACCTTGACTTGGACTAACACTCAAGTACTGATTATCTGTTACTCGAGCTTCAAATTGCTGATCAGTTCTTAATTTATTTTTAATCATAACCGTAGTATCAGTGATTGATGGTGGCGTTAATGTTACTATTAATGGAGATACAATAAATCCATCATCTTCATGAATATGCTCATTGTCGAGTTGATTCTCTGACAGTGTTTCAAGAGGTAAATAGCTATTTTCACTCGCTCCAATTATTGTATTACTTAGGTCACTGCAGAGAGATTGAAATAGTCTCGACTCATTAGAGTCATCATCGTCATCATCATCATCAGGAAAAATAGACGTTGTATCGTCCGCATTAGATTCCATAATTAGAGTTATAACGAAGCGATTAATCTTTCTGCACAAAGTTTCAAGATCACTGATCGAATCTCGAATGATATTTAAGTTGGGAATTGGTTTTTCACCGGGAAATACTTTACAGAGTGGATAAACGACATTTTTAAAATTACTTTCTTCTTGTTTCTTTTTTATTTGTCCTTCCTTCAGCATTTTGTTATACAGCCGTCGAATTCGCCAGCGTGTGAGTTCATCTCCATGAGTTATTGTGAGTGTTCCCATATCTGATCCATCACTGCTTCGTACTAAAACAATGTCCTCTCGTCTAGGTCGGAATTTAATCGTAATCCATTGAATTTCTTTAGGTCCAAGGATTAATTCGGTTGGTTCAACATTCCAACTTTTTTCCACAGATGGATAAACCGCTTTTGGAGTCAAGGAAATTTTTACATAAGCCGGAAGATCCCCATTATTTTCAACCTTCATTTTCGTATTTAAAGTTCCATTTGGATTTAATTTGCCAAGAGACAACCACCTCTGATCGCCCATTATTTTAAGAGCTTGACTAATACACACTTTCGTATGACCTCCACAACCATACAATGGTATTATTTTTGATGCTTTTGATTCTTTATGATCGTACTTCTTTCCATAATGAAAGAATGTTATCTTTCCAGAAACTGGTCCGGTATTATTTGGATGAAAAATAACTGTAAATGTCTTTCTCTCCATGTGCTGAAGTAAAATTGTGATTGTTGTACTCATATCGCGATCCTTTAGAAATTTAAAACTATTGTCATTATCTGTTATGATCCCTTGAAGTTTTATTTTATGATTACTCGTATTGCGAATCGTAAATTCACGTGTTTCATGCTTTCCAACACGAACGGTAGTCCAAACTAATGCAGAATGATTGGTTTTTATTGGAATAGAGTCATCAGTAACTGTGGAGCTAGCTGCTGATACTGAACTACGTGGAGAATTCCTTTCAAACTTATTTGATGAAGTTGTACTTTGTGGTGATAATGGTACACCAGAACTAACGAGTGTTATAACTTGCTGTTGAGGAGTATTGCAACGTAAGTCATCAATATTTTCATCAGTTAGCAATTGCCTCTCTCTACCTATCAAAGGATAAGAATAAATAGTATTTTTGTTGGTTTTTATTTTAATTATTGCTTGCTTCTCAGTTGTAATATTACTGATGTTATCCGAATCAGAACCTTGATAACTTATCATTAAACTTCCCACTTCTCCACTGTGTAGAATAATTTCTTTCGGTTCAATAATAAATTGAAGTTTTTGTGATTTATCAGGTTGTACAACCGACGCTGTTAAATTTATTATTTGGCTACTGATGTTTTTCAAAGATAAAAATTTATTCTCATTTTTTTCCAATATTATTGGAATCGGTGTATCAATTAAATCGATTTCACAAGTATCTTCTTCAATATTTTCACAAAAATTATTATTAGATATTGGCTGTTCTGGTATGAAGCACATCATATGCTGTTTTGTAAATTTTTCACGAGATGTTGTGTCAGTTATTTCTATTACCAATGCAGCAATTATTGGATCACCGGGTTTTAAAAAGCTCACAGATATTTTTGCAGATTTTGATTTATTTGGCTCTATTACAATCTGGTCAGTAGCAACTTCTATTTCAACATTGTTTTGGTTACCTTGAATTTGATGTAATTTACAGGTACACAGAATCCATCTCACACTATCATTTCTAATCTCAATACTGGCATCTAAAGGAACACCAACAGTGCACTTATATAAATCTTGCGTACTTTTTCCAATAAAAATTTTATCGCAAAAACGACTGTAGAAACTAAAAGAGTCACTCTCGTTTTTAACATTTACACCATTTAATTCATTGGCCATATAAGATGTAGACACTCTTTGTCCTGAAGAAGTTGGAGAAGATGGGGTAGACGGAGATTGTTTTATCATTTTAACGTCATGATGCTCAATATTTTGAACTGGTAAAGGTATCGGAGATTTTGGAGGTGGTGTTGATGGTTGCTGAATAGTTAATTTTTCATGATATTCCCTGTTTGATGGTGAAGCTTTTATTGGTACCTCAAATGAAGATTTTTTTGTACTATTGTAATTATCAATCGATATTTTAGGCTGTTCAAACGTCATTTCTCTGACCGTAGAATCACATTGTACTTGATTAATCTGTCCTAAAGAAAATTTAACTGATTCTTGTTGAAGATTAGTTTGTTCTCGTAAAGACGTTACAACAGGCAGCGATGCTCTGTTTGATAGAACTGTATATGTCCCACCAGTTGCATTTATCATAGAATAGTTCCTGGTTAGATCATTTTTTTGTTTTATTTTTTGCTGAAGAAGTTTATCAACTAATTCACGAGGACTGCCATCAACAGTTTGCAGTGCTTCAGCTATTTTGCTGAGACTCAATAAATCAGCATATTCATTATTCATTGTACTGTCCACAAAAGTATCATCAGATTCTATCGTTACTGCTGATGTTTCAGGATTTACTAATGCATGGCACTTTGCCAACCTTTCAGGGCTAGATATTCTTTTCAACCCAAAGTTTGGTCTTTCCACATCGCCTACAATTGAAAGTTGTCCCAAGGCATCACATTTCCGTTCAAAATATTCTCCTACTGACACTCTTCTACCTGTAGCAGTAGATTTAATTGTTAAGTCTAAATCACCTATAAATCCAGAAAAGCATGAAAGCTCCAAACGATTTTGATTGTCTTTTGAAGAAAAAGCTGATGTAAATGAATTAGATGGATTTACAGTATTCAAATTATTCGTTTGAAGAGGTAGTGGAATCGCCTCATAATTTTGACGCCAAGATAATTCATCAACTTCTAATTGATTCATCATTGCAGAACCAGACATGAAATTATCTTCAGAAAATTTAGCAGCAGATTCATTGTTTATTACATTAAAACTGAAACCTTGGCTAGTGTTTTTATTCATTGAACGATCTTCAACGTTAGATTTAGTCATTTCTGATGATCTTGCTGTGAATTCTGTCGGTTCGAACACGACCTACAACAGTTTTTTTTGTTTTATTATGATGTGATCAATTTAAATGCATTCTAATATAAATCAAGCATGATCAAATAATAATAATGAAGTTATAATAAAATACTTACACTATTATTACTTAAATTATGAGAAGCGACTAATGTAGAGTTAGATTCTTTAGATTGATTCTCTGATAAATTTTGAATATTAACATTATTTTCTTTATTTGTATCTGTAAAATGTGATATTGTTGAATAGATATCCAAGTTAAAGTATTAAATTTAAATCAAAGACACTAAATAGTTAAAGATTATTATCTTCTACTTGTTAAGAATTACCATAAGCTGGAGGGCTTTTCTTTACTTGACTGCATCTTAGCAATAATTGCCGGGCAAGAATTTTTTCAGTCTCAATATTATGCATTGTCGTTGTAGTAGATTGTAAATTCATAAAATTATTATCCTTATCATCTTCTAAAACTGAAAATGATTTTAATCCATAACTATGTTACTTACTCCAAAACATAATCATACTACTTTAAATATTAGTGATAATAAAAGTAATAAGAGTTGAATATAATTACGATTAGAAATATTATTTATAAGTCCCAAAGAGTTGTCTTTTGACTCATCTGCATCGTTCTTCAATAATGGATTAATCGGTACAACAAAATTATTTTGTAATCTGGCAGCTAATCTATGATTAGTGAAAAATAAATAATTTATAAGTAGATGTAATAATTGAATTATTATATGAATAAATTTAATTGATTGAGAAAAAATTTTCATTTACGTTTTTCTTTCAACAGTAGATGAAGCTTGTGGTTGTAGCGTCGAAAAAATTGTTACATCCATTAAATCAACTTCAGCTCTATTATGAAAATTTTTTGTCGACATCTTCTTTACATCACTTGTCAATTCCATCTTTAAATATAAAACTATCTAATTATTCGACACTTAATAATAAATGTCATTTGTATTGTAGAATGAAAAATGTAACGTTTACTTTTTAAAAAACAAACAACGCTAATAAAACATTAATTGTGCTCGCATTACACGCATTATAGAAAGTAATGAAAAATTATGATTCTCTCAATGTATCACTAGGGAGCGCTAAAGCTCCTTACTCATGAAGCGGGAAATTTAAAGAGCGTAAAAGTTAAACAAAAGCTTTATACAGATACAATATCCTATGAAAACTGCCATTTTAATTATTATTAGAAATTAAGATATTTGCAATTAGAGATTGCGATTCTACTATGCTATCTAATGGTAGAAGGTAACCTGTTATAATTTTTCAATAAATACTTTCTAAATATTATTGAATATTACTTATATTGTATTATAAGTAATTACTGAACATAATTTCATGAAAGTTTGAATATTTACTGGATATTTATTTTTCATATATATTTCTATTTGATACGAGCTCTCAAGGGTGAAAAATAAATAATATTTTTTGATGAAGCGCATTATTAGAAGAATAGCTATTTTGACAAACAAAATTTTCATTCTTAGGGTTCGGAAAATCCTAAAGTTGTAGTAGCAAGGTCCTTATCCTTTAAAGGATCTTGCTACTACTTAAAGAGCTGTCTCAATCAAAGAAATCTATATACACTTCTTTGAATCTACTGTCACCGAAGAGAGCTATAAAGAAATGTTAGAGGCAGAATTATTTCCTTATACCAAGAAGAAACATCTTGTTAAGGTTTATTATTTTACACAAAACGGAGCAGTACTACATCGAATACAAGAAGTCTTCGAAGCCATCAATAAAGTTTATGTGGATCAAGTTATTGGTCTTGGATATTTAAGGTTTATTAAGGGAACCGGAATAGAATGGCTTTCTTATTCATCTGATTTTAATCCTTGTGGTTTTTTTGTGAGGTTTTATTAAAGATTATTGTTATGAAAATAACTCAAAAACTATAAGTGATTTGATGAACAAAATAAGAATGATTTTTAATAGCATTTGAAAGGAAATTATAGAAGATGTTTTTCAAATCGAATATCTGTTATTCTCTGTAGCATTCGACAGTTCTATAAAAGATATAGAAATGCATCAACAAATGCACTTAAGTATTTATCTTTTAAATACAGAGAACACTCGACAAAATTTACTTCAAGTACAAATACAACTAGAAGTAGATATGAATGTTAAAACATAAACTCTGGAAATTGATAACATGGAAAGTGAGTTTACATAAAAAAATTAACCCCTATAGACTATTGAAATCGTTTAAAATAATTCTTCTTAAATACATTTATATACTTTGGAGTACATAATTTATTAAATCGACATACAAAATCTGTAGTGGATAATACTATATCACAAAAATAACACTTTATAATAGAGATGTATTGTTAAAATTCATTTACATTACAATAAAATTTACATTAAAATGATCTACATTATTTTTCCGGATTTTTAAGTAATTTCATTCGACGTGAAAAGAACTTATTTGTCAAAAATCCGTAAAAATGCAATAGTTGAATCTTTAATTATTATGATAGTAATACTGATAATATTTAACCAGCTAGTCTGGTCTACATTTTTACGTTAATTTAATAATTTAAGTACCAAAATATTTATATTAATCGATTAAATATCTTTCAGTATTTTCAATAATTCATCATTAGAACGATTTAATATAATATTTCAATTTATATTAAATTGTCAATAAATTAAATTAATTACGTATTTTATATACAATAATAATTCCTTATCAAATTATGCAAGTGACTGCATTCTTTGATAACAATCTAATTACAATTTTTCAACGTCTCATAAATAATTTTATTTACAATTTCATTCTTGGAAAATTTTTTAAATAAATAATTTCATTTATTCTTACTCTTAAAACCAATAAATAAATTTTCTCTTGTCATAAAAATTTATATATTAATATCACATGAGTAAATCACAAATGCTCAGTGATAAAAATTGGATTATCAATACCAATTCCTGATTCTAAATGTTTATCACTTATAGTTATTTTTGCATGTAATTCTTTATTATTCTCGTTGTTTTTTATCACTATACCCTTATCACCTAGTTCTTCAATTTTACAAAACTTTTCCTTCCTCATTTCAAGCTCCATTAACGCCCGATCCCTCCTGTGCTCTTTGTACAACCACCTACACATAGTAACACATTAAATGGGATTAATAAACGTTCGCAGCCAACCAGTTTATTGATTCATCTCAATGAAAACAGGTGGGGATCAAGAATGAAAAAATGTGTCGCGGGTAATACAAAGGTACTATAAACTATATTGCATGTAAATAATTTTTTAAAATAAAGCATCTAAAGTTTCATCAATAATTACAATTTAATCAACATTTGACTACTTGGAACCCAAATTTTTAACAAATTCCATAAATTTGTAAAAGTTCCTTAAAGTTCATATTATTGTTGCAAAATAAATTCTTGCAAGTCTAAGTATTTTTATATAAATTTTCCATCTCCTCAATTCATTGAGAGTTTATTTTTCGTTTGAAAATCTTTCAAAAGTACTTACAAGAATGAAATCACAGCAGGAATTGTTAAGCCACCTCCAAGTATGAAAAATGTTCCTGGGAATGTATTCATTGTGGCTCCATAAATCGAACTGTATATTGGACCATACACTAAAGGCATTAAGGATTCACATACCCCAAATAGAGAATTGACTTTACCTAAAAAAAACAATCAGTTAATATTGCTCATGATTTGTTGAATTGGGTAGAAGGCAATTAAATTAAAAAGGAAAAGAATGAAATGAAAAAAAGTTTTTTGTATGCGTAGTCAATAAATTTCAATTGAAACGAAATTAATTAATTTCATTGAATGAAGTTACATAGAGTTTAAAAGGATGGGAAAAATCTGCGACCGGAAATTTGATAATCACTTCAAGAGGGCTAGTCAAAAATTGACCTCGAGGAGTTTTCTCTAAGTGAATTATATACAGAAGTAACTTACCAAGTTCATCCGTTGGGACCAATTTTGATGCTATAGAACGCATGGCGATCAATGAAGCTCCATTTATTATTTCCACTAACGGAGCTGATAACAATAATAATATTTATCAATATGCTGTGATTTGTTAATTGTAGTGAATTTTATTTTTATTCTCCAAACGTTTTAAATATCATTTGCCATCAAGATAATTGATTGAACGTCATATTTTGCTTTTGATTGATTTATTTTAGAGCTATTAAATAACTACGGTACTCAATCACTTTATTTGGTATTTATAAATTTTTTTTTTTAAATATCTGTTCATATTCATGAAATAAATTTCATCATAAAAATATTTATATATTTATTGAAAAAATTGAAATGATTTTTATTGCAAATCTATACGACTTTTCAAAAAGCCTCTATTTGAAAAATCGAAAATTACATCAATTGATAACTGACCTAGGGGAATAAATGAATTTTTTATTATTCAGATGTTCAAGTTTCAGGATATCAATGTTTCATAATGTAACATCATATGTTAAATATTATTTAATACAGAAAACTAGGTTCACTGATTAATAGAAAACAAAACACTTCAAGGTTTGCAAAAAAAACTGCAAGGCTCGTTTAACATTGGCACGATAAAAGATGATTATTATAAAAATAACTTTCAAATATAGTATATTTTTAACTCAGATTTAATTAGTATGTGTCATTAATTAAATTTAAATTACAAACTGCCTACAATAAAACAATGATAATATCTTCCCAGTTATTAGGATTTTTTTTCTCATTATTGCTTATATAAATGTTATTAAAAAAAATAATTAAAAATCATCATATAAAGTTTACTAAACTTAAATTTTTATATTTATTAATGAGAAACATTTTTTTCAATGCCAACAGCTTTTTTTACATCTGCTCTTATCAAGAATGTTTTTCCGTAAGTATATGAAACTAAAAAAGTGATAAATATATGTTTTTTGACAACTTGATAAATTTTTTGTAAAATAAATGAGTTAAGTAGAAGTTTATTGATATTGAGTTATTTTTTATTTAAAAAATTGTCTGAATTATTGATTACATGATGCAATGCATTAATTAATTGAGATATTCAACCGAATTGAAATTAGAGAACTAGAACGTGTCCTCATAAACGAGGAATAATTGAGGATAAATTGAATGAATCGGGTTAAATCGAATCAAAACAAATACAAGTGATATTGAGTATACATTTAACCAATTATCAACAGCGAGATAAGAAAAAAGAGGCAATTACTGTTGTTTAATAGTCACGATCGAGCTTTACTTAATCTATCAGTCATAAACAAACGTAATTCATATGAAATTGTGATAAAAATAAATCGATTTGAATATTTAGGTTGAATCAAACGATTTCTTATCATGAATTAGAACACGTTGATTAGTTTTATTTATTAATCAATTTTTTTTTTTCAATAATTTACCTATATAAATCATCCAATCTTCTGTGGCAAAAGCATAAACAAAACTAGCTAGGATTTTGCTAGTGCAGCTTACTGCTCCCATCAAAGCATCGTCGACTTTTAGGAAATGGTTGAAAAATCCAACTGCAATGATGGTACCTGTGAAACAAATATTTTAGAATTAAAGCATATGGCAAAGTTTACTTCAATTAAAAAAAAATGAAATCACAGGTTCAAATTGACTTCACCAACTATTTAAAGATTACTACGTTGATAAGGTAACAATTACGTGACATGAATTATTTAGTATTTCATTGGAGAAGAAGTAATGTACGTAATTGTACGAAATTAGATCGTATACCATATCTCTAGTCGCCATAAACTCATGAAAATTCTATACATATTATAAAAATATACTGACTGTACTAATACCTCAAATACCGATGGATCTTATTTATGATCATAATTAAAGAATCTTAATGTTAAATAGGAAAAAAATTTCTAATACATTTTTATGACATTTATTGTATTTTCTTTCAATCATTGAGTAAACGAATTTTGAGTCTACTCTATTAATTGACACGATTGAATAGCTGTAAACAATGTCAACTTTGATGATGAATAATTAATAGAGTTTGATTAATTGACAAGCATTAAATAACTCATTTATGAATGTGGGTTTTACATGAGTAAAGTAGGTCTTTACAATAAATCTAACATGATTTAATTACCAATATTTATCCAAGAGAATTTCTAATTATTGTCTTAGTAAGTGTTGAACCACTTACTTAAATGTGACGAAATAATGACAACAGAAGTTTTAGATAATATTTTTTTTCTTCTTTCATTCCATATAAAAAAAATAATGTTCTTTGTTATTGATAATGCTTATCAATAAGTTTGTCAAGTAATCCTTGACTTTCAGCTATTATGAACACTATAAAGTTCAAAGTCACGTGAATCACATAACAGAATAGCAAACAACACAGGCAGTAAATAAAAATAGCACCTTCTAGTTGGCACTATATAAAATGTACACATTTTAAAAAACCGCATATCATTCTATCACTATGGCACATCAGTCGGATTGTTTGAATTGAAGTCTGAAGATGGCATTTAGCTATTCTTAAATCTTGATAACTCTGTAATAAAACAACTGTAAATACAGAGGACATTTGGAAGTATACAATTTTTTTTTGTATTTTCTACACAATGAAACAAAGTCAAGAAGACTTAATAATTACCCATGTTACATAAAAAATAATAATAGTTAATAATAAAAAAAAACTTGCAATGATAGCTAGCATAGGTAATTGAAGAAATATCCTAAGGATTGTGAAAGGACAAATTGAATTTTTATTGAAAGATGATATGTAATAGAAGAAAAATAATATTAAAAGATAAACTTATGCAATTTATGATTATTGAAAGAAATTTGATATAAAAGTGAAAGTCTAAAATCAATCAATTCTCCATATTACGTATGAGCTTAATTGAACGATTGAGGTCGACTCGCGACATCATTTGCCTACTTAATCATATTACACTGCTTCCTAATGATGTTTCGCATACAAATCTAATGTTCAATTTATTTCAGCTCTTACCAATTAAATTCGTAACCATGCTGTAGGTATAAAACATGCTGAACTTTAATTCATTCCAATTGAATCGGTACCTCGTGAAGAGGTACATGACAGCCATTTCACCTGTAACAAAAGTAAACCAACTTATTTTAAAAGAAAAAAAGTGACAGTGTTTGTTTTTTTTTGTGGGTGGAGTAGTGATAAGTCTGGATGTCAAGTACAAGGCGAATGTTGATATTTAAGTCTAGTCTTTTAAATTTGTCAGAGTAATTTTTATCCATTATTACGATGGTATTATGTAAGAATAGCAGGTTGCACAACAAGTTCATTTATCAGTACCATCTATTTAGACGTTTCCGCCGAGCAGTACGGTCTTTATCAAATTATGCTCTCTACCTTTTTATCCGTCTTTAGTTTCCAAACAGCTTGACCACATGTGTTCTTGATAATTGGACATTTGTAGTAATTCTTACGACACCACAAATATCAGCAACATTGCATGGAAATAGAGAAGTTCAAGGAGAAAACGTGAAAGGATGTAAATCCTTGAGGTTTTCAGGACGAATAGAATAAATAATTGGTTAGTTGTGAGATACGAGGTCCTATTGACATTGACACTAATTGTATAATAATGTTTATACTAAATAAATAAATAAATAAAATTAAAGTTTAATTTAGAGGTTATGTTTATGTGAATGGTCTAGATAATTGTACAAAAACAAATTGAAAAAAAAAGAAAAATCGAAAACAGTTATAGACTCAAAGTACGTAATTCAAACGATTTAATTTAAATTGCATTATTAAAGTGTACGATTATTATTTCAACATATTGTAATGGATGAGATTATCATCATGAGATCTAATCTAAACTCATAATAACTTCCTAGTCGACATCTAGATATTTTCTTTAGGGGATTGTAATCAAGTTTTTAAATGTGATCATCATTTAAACACTTGGGAAATGTTATTTTTTTCTTATTGCATTATGCAAACAGTAATTTTGCAATAAAAACTTATCGATTGAAAAAATTTTGTAATTAAATTTTTTTTCTTTTTTGATTATCTAGTATTTAAATGAATAATTACACAAAGCTTTAAAAAAAAGATAATTAGATAAAAATGATTTGTCTACAGAAGGGTGATATTAAAGATAATATAATCGTAATAATTCCTTTATGATGATTATTTTACCCACGACCTTGTGAATAAAATGTGTAAATGAATTCTGACAAAGTATGGAAAACGGACATGAGTGATTTGGTAATTGGATAAACTTATTAATCTTATAAATCAATTATATTGTTAAGTAAAAAAAAAATATATTATAGTGATGATTTTCAGTTGAAATGAATTCTAGACACAATCATCATTACTTTATAATTTTATCATTAAAATAAAAGCTACTGTATAATAATTATTAAATTGCAATCTCACGGATAAATTACTATTTATCGTAGAATTATATGAAATACAATGCTGTCATCACATCAAGATAAAAATGATTTAGCACTTGATGAAAAAAATAGTGTATCATGGAGTATGATATTAAATAATTTCTAAAAATTTTAAATCAGCAACTTTTCTTGTACATCAAGCTATGATGGACTAGAAAATAATTTTCTTCTTGCGGTCAAAGATCTTAGGGCTTACATCACACGCATACCTACTCCAAGTAATATTACAACTGTTGAACAAGTCGGAGGATCGTCGTATAGTGTCTTGCAACTAGCGAATAACAGTGATTCAAGTTCTCACACATTCTCATAGGTTTACTTACGATAGGCGAACATGCGGGACTTGTCGAACATAAACACCACGTTGGATTGCAGGGGAATAAACAGAAAGAAGTTACGTTTCAAGTGAAACAACATCTGGGTAATACTACTCTACATATAGCGATATGATGCCAACAACTTGTTGTCGATATAAACAACTTTCTTTTAAGATTATTCTGTATCACAACCAAACTCTGACTTAGCTCGCGTGAATAGTTGAAAACACAAAAGTAGAAATAAAAGATATGATGTTATCAGTTGGGGTTTAATCTAGGTATTTAATTTAGGAAAATAAATATTTTTTTAACAGAATATTTTGTAGTATAAAAATAGAAAACAGTATTACATTAATGAAAAAAAATATTTTCGATGATTTGAAAAATTAAATTATTGTTTTAAATGGAAATGGTAAAATTTTTTTTATTTATTCCCGGAATTACGGATTTTTTAAAAGCTATCCTCAATGAAACTAAATTGATATTTACTCATAAAAAAAGCTTCTATGTAAAAATGTTTTTGATTTATTCATAAAGTTAAATCAATTATTGCATCTGTTTTTAAACAATAAATGAAAATAAAATCATAATTTTCTATAGACCCTTCTAGAATAGTTTAAAATTGTAAAACATTTCATATCCTTATTGCATATAATAAATATTGAATAAAATTCTAACGAGCAATACACTCACTTCGAAATGGAAAGTGAATAAACATATGAATATTTAATAGTTACATCTCGTAACAAAGAAAGTGTCACATTTGTGAATCGAAAAGAGTTCAAATCTAACACTAACAATTCTAAACATTACAAGTTTTATTATCTATGAGAGTAATTATTATTATTACCTATAAAAAAAAATATTTATGACGTGGGAATTTTTTTAAAGTTAGTTTTAATGAAAATAAATAAATAAGTAACAATTACCATACATGGGTCCCACGACAACCATAACAATGATCATGAGAACAGCAACTTTGTTTTGTCTATTATTGGCACCTTTCTTGAAAGCAACGCGAAAGGTTTCAGAAATATGACGGAATGCAAAAAAGTCAACAACTTTCTCACACGGTGACATAGGTGGTTGTTTTTCGGGTAAATTAACACTTGGTCGACGCGGTGATTCTTTAACAACCACAAGTCCATAAACAAAACTGAATACATAACACACGGTGCAAATCGAAAAGACACCATAGAATCCAATTTTGATATACAAAATTCCAGAAAGTGCCATCCCGATGGGTACACCAAGTGATAGAAATACATTAACTGCACCAATTCTAAGTGTTCTAGATTCAACAGAAGTAATATCACCAATATAACTGAGTATTGCCATAAACATTGTGAACCATCCCCCAGTGACAGCTGGCCAAAATGCTTCAGATATACCAGCAGCTTCCATAGGAAGCTCGTAGAACCAATAAGTGCAAGCGAGTAAGCTAATACTAGTTAGAAACTCTCCAACAATTGGTAGAAGCATGCAGGGTTTCCTAAGACCAGTGCGATCACTCCAAGCACCTAAGAAAAGAATCAGAAGAGTCGGCAATCCACTTTGAAGTGCTAACTTCCAGGTCTGCATTCCTGTGACGAGTTGTTGAACGGCAGTTTCCTCTTCTTTAAAGCCGGTAGTGTTTCTAGCCGTGAGTGATGAACAGACTTGATCATCGTATCCAAGATTCACTCGACAAGCCTTCTCCAGATTAAGGTTTTGCGTTGCAAGGGATGCTAAAACACTTGGCATGATGTAACAAGCTACCATTGGTTCAACAGTAATGTTGTTAGATAAAAAGTTCCACTTTTGCCTTATACTCATGGATTTCCAGGTGATGACATCCTCAGCTTGTACTACAAGTGATTTTTTTTTCATACTGGAGTCTTTGGAAGGCTCCATTGATGGTATGGTACTTGGAAGTGCTGCGTTGTTAGTCATCTTGATGACAGGTGGTTGTAACCAGTTCCTAACCAAATTGGCAACAAGAACTAGTGCAGAGGTCAATTCACAATTGTTGAATAATAATAACTGGTAGGAAGATGTTGGTTGTCAACTAATATGCTGGTGTTGTTTCGGTTTACAGATGTAGCAATTGCGTGACCAGGTAACAAGACCTCGTGGCTGATGTGTTCAGGTTGCCGACGAGATGACCACTTGGACACTACTGGTTACTGCTAGTGGGATTGTCCGGACACTGTCGGCCGGAGTCTGCCTCTACTTCTCTTGCTCATGCCGTACACCGTGCCATATTGTGCATTGCGATACGTGTGTTACAAGATTCCCTTGGCCCCTCTTCCACTTTGCCAATTCTCCCTCTGCTCAGCTATGTTTTCTCGCTCTTCCGCACTGCTTCTGCCGAGTCCATCCACCCAGCACTAAGTATTCTCTACTCTCGGGCTTCTCCCGTACATCACTTTTATTTCGTAGCCTTCGTACTTGTGAGCTCTATGCCCCCCTCCAATACCACGAAAAATTCAATTGATCGTGTCTCTTTTAAGATTACACTTGTTTCTCTTCCGCCACTTCAGGGCCGCTACTTTGTTGTCATTTGTCATTGTTAATCTCCAAATTGGCTCGTCGGCAATTCAGACTCACTGCAATCAACATTTACGTCAGTTTGTGTTGTCGAAAAATCATTTTCTCTCCAGGCGACCTTTTTATTGTTGTTCAATTGCCTCAAAGGTAGGTCACTTTTTTTTATCAATATTCTCAAATAAACCTCAACATAAATTCAAAGAAAATTTCAAGGTCTCTGATAATACATGCTTGATTAGTAAAAAATTTTTATGATTTAATTTTATGTGTTTTCGCACCAAATGTGGAATGAGATTATTAAAAATAGAAAAAAATTTTGAATCATCAAAATCAATCTTTATAATCATTGCTAAACTTATTTATAAAAAATAATACTTGCCCTTTTATGTACATTGCAAAGAAATTTAAAACAAAAATATACACTTTTTTAAATCTAAAATTACTTAACAGGAAAATTATCATTTAAGATACTTTAGATAATATTGTTATGACTCTAAACTCTTTCAGGGAATTATTTATAATATTTTTTGCATAAAATAACACATTTCAGAACAATAATACATAATAAATCATTTTCTAAATGAATAACATTATGAAAAAAAACTTGTTGTAAATTTGAAGTTAAAATATTGCAGATACCATTGGAACAATGATCTTATAAAATAAAGAATTCGAAAACTTCGCAAAAAGTACAGCGATTAACTGCTCATTCTTCCAACTTCTGTATCTATTGAGATGCTTCGAACCGAGTACAATTGTTGAAAAACAAAATCAACATCTCTCTTCCGTTTTCTTTTTTCCATTTATTCGATACTTACTCTAAAAAATCTTCCATCCTTTTTCCATAATTATTCTTTCCAATAAAAATTCACATTAAAATTTTTAATTAAAAATATCACTCCTGAAGAATTGAATCTTCTCTGATGCGATAACTCTGCTTTTTATATCAACACAACAGTGATAATTCTAAATGAAAAAAAAAATACACAAACGAATAATTAGTTGCAGAAATTCTAAAGATGCGACAAGCAAAGCGGATGAACGAAAAAGAAGTATAAGAAGAAATCAACAACGGTGCTTCCTACATTCCGAAGGTGAAAGAACGAAGGTTTTATCCATGAAAGTGAGACGAACAGGGTTTTCGCTATCTATTCAACTGTGAAGTTTATCTGTACTATGAAGAAGGTCAAGGTAAATATTAAGTGAAACTTATTTTAATCATATCAACAGTGTTTCCCAGTAAAGTTATTTATTTACAATAGTCCATTTAATTCCATTTAACTAAATCTAATTTTATGACCAATTAACATTATTAGCGCTAAGTGGTCCAACAGACAATTTCTTCAAGGTGATTCAACAATAGTAATTGTTTACTCTTTCTTTTTGTCCATTGCCATACTCCAGATGTTCTAGAAAATTAATTAATTGTACTTTTGGGATTGACTCTAATAACAGATTTCCTAGTTAATGTCGAAATTCCATGAAAGACTTTTGAACATTGATATAGTTTATTTTTATTTGTTTTGCCGATCTGCTGAACCTGTTTCAAGATCGCGTGTGTTCTTATTAACTTCCTTCATTGATTCTTAATTCTTAAATGCACTCCTTTATTATCACTTCCTCATTACTCTAACATGGTCACGTTGCAGAATGAATAAAAAACATTTTTAATTTTATCATTTTCTCAAGGGGTTTTTATGAATAATTTTTTTTTGTTAATTATTACAGTTATGATAATAAAAAATTGATGCTCACAGTGTTGATAATTTGATTTCTTTTTCTAAATGAATAGCTTCACTGTCAGTGAACAAATAATAATAATAATAATAATAAAATCATAATAATACTATTACAAGAACATTGTCTGTTGTTATTATTAGTCAATTTTTTATATTATCATTTATTAAAATACTTGAAAGTTTAAAAAATTTCATTTATTAATTGAAACATAGGTAATACAGAATAGATGATAATTTTTGATGTTGCATTAAGCACAATTAATGACTCATTTCGATAAGAAAACTGCACAGAAAGAAAAAAAAGAAACGAATTGCACATAGAGAAAAAAAATAAAAAAAGTGTGATCAATGATGCAGAATTTTTTCTTCAAAACGATGGGAAAGTACCCAAGTAAATAAAACATTTACCTGGCACGTACTTTGAACTTCAAAGAACCTGTTTATTTCCTGCAGTAACCTTAAGTGCTCGTAAAACTTAAAAATTTCCTGCAGTCAATCGAATTTTTATTAGTATCTAACACTTGAATAAAGGATCTAGATAAAATTGATTAAAAAAACTACATAAAATAATGGGAAACTCCAATTAATTTCATTTGTCGATAAACAATTTACTAATTATTTGTTATACCATCATTATTTAATTGATTAATAAAAAAGTATATTGTTCCGTTGTAAAAAATATTACTTTCTTTATCCACTTGATATCACTCTTAATGTATGTTTCAAAATGTTTAATAAAAATAATTAATTTTTAGATGCTGGTATTATCTAATCCTCGCAAATAAACATTATAAATAAATGTGTACACAACAATAAGTAAATAACAATTTAATTAAAATTAATCTTACATAAATTTTTTTATACCATGATTATTTTTATTACTCTATAATTTTTCTTTGAATGTAAATATCGAAAAAGTTCTGGTGTGGTAGTTAACAATTAATTATAACAAGTGATCAAAGGTCTAACGTTTATTATTTTAAGCTATATATTAATTAACACATAAGTAACTTTTTAAATGAGTTTACCGCCTTAATAAAATAAAATAAAATTTCTTTCATTTAGAGAAACCTTTATTATTAAGTGTTAATTATTATTAGCCAAATAAATCAACAAGTTTTAAAATTATTTTTATATCATAATAAATGTAATTAGATTTATATCATTCTAACTCTTATTAATTTATTAAATCATCTAATCTCTGAAGGATATATCAAAATAAAATTAAAAAAACTCAGATCTTATCAATGAATATCAGTAATTTTTATTATTTTTTGTCTTTCAAGAACATTTGATTGTTAATTATGAATCAATAAGTTATAAAACTTATATTGAATAATGGATTAATTGAAAAATGAATTATTAATTAATGATTGACGAGAACTTCATAATCTCTGAAAGACAATTCTTCACCATCGAAAGGAATATAAAGACATCCATGACTAGCTTGAACTTTTCCAATTGTTTGGGATCCATTATGGAGAACACGTCCTACGTAAAGTGGTTCACCTTCTGAAGTCTGGCCACCAACTACAGCACCCTCAGGCACTACACCATTGCTAGCAAATTCCCACGCAAATTCTCCTTGGCAAAGTACCTGGCATGAAAAAGAGCTTGATGGAGATTTGTCTTATCAAATAGCTGATGACAGATCGATAACGATTAATTACGTAATTTGTTTAATTTTTTGCCTGAAGCCAATACTTTATTTCAGCAGATAAATATTTTTTAATCATTTATATGCAATAAAATTTCGAAGAATTTTAATTTTGATGCAAAAATTTTATATGATGTTTTTCAAAATTATTGGCTAGTGAAGTAAAAATATTTATTCGCTGAAATGAACTTTTTTGGAGTATCAATTACTTCAAATTCATGTTTAGAGTGTTCTTCGCCACCATGGCAAATATAAGCAGCTTCTTTGTCAGGAATGACCTTAGCTGGAACGGTATCACCATTATGAAAAGCTCTTCCAACATAGATGGGACTTCCATCAACATCTTTGCCACCTTGAACAGCTGTTTCGGGGAGCGATTGTCCCACACGTCGTGACACCCATCTGTATGCTAAATGAATAAATATTGTTTTCAATAAAAAAAATTATTGCATACACGTGAACTATATTTTATCATGAAAGTTATTTTTCTGCGAATGATTTATGATTTTCAATTATCACAAAATATGAAAGACGACAGATTTTTGATTAGATTACTAAAAAAAAAAATATTTATTTGTTATCAGTATGATAAGAAACATACGATGTAATAATTCGACATATTACTCAAAAAAGCAGCTTCAACCTTTAAAAATTACAGACTGTCAATTCAGACATTAAGATAATTAAGTTTAACTATTTTACTATCTTTTAGATTCACTATTCAAATAAATGTTAGATTATTTTATCAATCTTCAAAGTTATATTGTCATATAAAAAATGTAAATATAAGTAATCATAAAGAGCTTTTTTTTATATAAAATTGTAAAAATTTGTACTGATTAAATCGAAGATTATAAAAATGGAAATCGTTTCTAATTTAATGATTAAAATGAACAATAGATGTTGATGAATTAAATTCATTAGAAAGAAAGTGATGATAATAAAGTTTTTTACCTGGCATTTTACGTAATTGATTCACTGTGATGAAAGGTTTTGCACAAAATGACGCTTATCTTTCACCATACCTTGTTAAGAACAAGTATTATCTTATCATCGCGTATGTATCATGTTTGAATAGTCTGCCCATGCGTCTAAGTTTCCAGAACTCTGAGTGTTTCTTGGACTTTTGATGTCATTTGTTTATAATATATTGATTGCGTTGGAAATATTTGATTTTTATTTTGTTCTACAATCAGTTATTTAAGACTTGTTGGATATAATTTGCTATTATAGAAATTGAAAGATTATTGACTTGATTTTTTAGCAAATTGAGAAGTGCTGTTGTATCATAGACGAAATTTCAATGTAAAAGTTTGCGAAAATAAATAACTGTATTATAAAAAAATTTTTTAAACAAATTTGTCAGTAAATTCTCAGAATTGTATTATTAGACGTTTATTGTTTGTGATTTTTAATTTAATTGCACCCTTTTAAAATAAAAATATACGATCCAATGTAATAAAAAACGGTATTTAAATGATGAGAATAATAAAAACTCCTCAGGAGAGTCGCTTTAGGAATTAATTAGCTGTAAAAATACTAATTAAAAAAAGAAGCATAAAAATGTACTTTATTTTGTGAATTTAAATAAATTTGGTATTATCCCTTCTTTTCTGAATAGTTTAATGGGTAAACTATTAGCGGCAGCACCTTCCATTCTGACGTCGTTGACGCACGTGGAATTGGAGAGAGCGTCAGATTTATCTGCGTTTCATTTCTTCCTTGATCAGTTTGCAAAATCATTTGAAATGCCGTATCAAATACACTCAAATTTGCAAGATCGAGCTGCCCTAAGTTTTGCAATATCATTCTGGGAGAAGAAGGAAATAAAAGATAAAATACAAGAGTGTTTGTGTTTCTGTGACAAGTTTGAGATTATAGAAGCTAAAAAAAATGGAATCTATTTATCCAAGAAGAAATAGATAAATGGAATAAACATATATTACCTTTACGTTTAGAAGTTGAATTAGTACATATTATACAAAAAATAGGAGAAAGAATATACCATTGGTATGAATACGTTCAAACCGAAAATGCACATCGACATGGAAAAAAAGCAAATGCAATGAATTATACTGATCAAATATATTGGACACCTTTTGGAACTGTGGATGGAGTTAAAATTTTTGAGTCATTGCGGTGGGAAAATCCAAATTTTAACATTCCTAAATTGATCCCAAGTTTTCTAATATACCCCAGGAATCAATTGGAAAATCCAATTATGATGCCATCTTTCAAACAATATGTAATAACAAAGAATAAGTCTAGAATGTTATCGGTCTTATGCGATTGATGATTTATTACGTTATGGTGACGAAATTATAAAAATACAGCAGTATTAAGAAGAAAAATATGTTGAGATATGCACTTTTTTGTAAGCCAAATGAATGAGGATTATAAGAGCAGATTTTTGAACGAAAAAATACAATTGTATTGTACATCCATAGATTCAATATACGAAATTTTGAAAACGGTATTATCTGAATGGCCATGGCAAGAAAATTTTATACTTATATTAGAAGATGTATTGCAATACAAAAGCTATAAACGTGAAAAAATGGTCCTTAAAATCCTTGACGCAATTAAATTTAAAATAATTGTGGATAGCAAGTTAGGCTATTCTAGAAAAACTATTAAAAACCGAAGCTTACTACATGAAACTTGGCTTGTTATTCCAAGAACTATTAAAGAGAATCTATCGAATCGAATTACAAAGCATTCTTTTATATGTGATTTGATAAATCTAATGGATCTACACAGTCTCGAATTAATTTTGGATGATCCTACAATTGCAGCTAACAGAGATTTATACATAAAATCTGGATACAATTCATGTAAACAGTTTATACTAGAAGATCAATTTGAGAAATTAGATCAATTCATAGAGAAAATATTTAAATCTGAAGATAAAAAAAACGTTTCAGTAAATTATTTAATTTTTGGGATGATCTTATAAAAAATGATCAATTCTATTTGGCCGATAAGCTATTAGATTGGTAAACCAATACTCCTGAAGAAAGGCAATCTATTAAAAGTAGTTTAGATCACATCAGACTTGATAAAATACTTATACATGAGAAAAAATTTGATTTACTGGAGAAGTTTTTAAATTGGCAATTGGAGACAGGAGAAAAGAGAGAAAAATAGAAAGATGATTTAAAAAGTGAGAAATACAAAAACTAAAGAGAAAATCTTTTGAATTTTTACGCTGGGTTTTTCAATCATTTGAGGACAACACACTTCAGGAAAAAACATTAATAAAGGCAGAGATAAATTAATTTACCGTAGATCGTCAATTTAATCCAAGAAGTATTATAAAAGTACTCTAAGAGCCAAATCAACGTAAACTGACGGCATATTTACGTATGTTGGTCTAAGTTTGTCATTTACATAAGTATCTGCCGTTTTTCTAAAGCAGACAGACGTAAGTCTGATCACAATTTTTACGTCATCTAGCTGGCTATTAGGGTAGAAGCCTTCTTATCTTGGTGGTTGTTACCACATGAGAAAATCGAAGTAATTTTTATAGTTTTTTAATTTTATATATAATAATGTATCATATAATGATAAGATATTGAATATTATTCAACTATTACACCCTTTACTATGTTTGTTGTACGAATCATTTTTTTTATTCTAATTTTTTATATTTTCAATTAATTAAATTTGAGGAAATACCCTAGTAGGAACATACAATAGACCCATTTTTGGGCCAGTATTGGGACTGGCACGAAGTTATCCAGCAATGATTTTGTAGTCAGCCATGACTGGATAATAACTTCATTTACTGGCAAGACTGGCATACTTTACTAGAGTAGAAGATATGTATATCATCTGATTTCATTATTTACATCAGAAGAATTCATTTGATACCCTTGTAAAATAATTAATTTTGAATCTGATTGAATCCATTAAGCCTTCTAAAGTGTATGGTCTAAAGGTACGCTGGGTAGTTGGCTATAAAAATATCAAGGAAAACATCACCTACGTGAATACTGAGTATTTTCAGAACATTCTATATGACACAATATATCGAAATAATTTAACAAACTTTTTTTCACCATTAGAATAATATTCAGAACATTATTTGGATTATCGACGCCAATACTAATGAATTCTACAAGCTATTATAAAATCTTATTTTTAAATTCTTGAACCTCTCGAAAAAAAAATTATTTGCAACGTTATATCTACTAATTATTTTTTCTCATTAATTTAAAATGTCATTTTCAAAAAAGTTTTTTATCGCACTTTTTTTGTTCGTGCAAAAAATTGTATCGATTAGCCATTTTTGGACGAGGAATTGTGCCTAATAGAAATAAATACTATGTAACCATGGTAATAACCATATAAGTCATCAGTAGTTTCCACACAATTCATGCTAGTATTTTTTTTAAAACATTTTCAATCTATTTTTTGGTCTTATAATTATTGGTAAAGAATTTTTTCTTTCGTCATGTCTAAAAAACAACAAGCTCTTCAGTTGCATCGATCCACAGTGGTTCCAGCTTCGACTCAAAAATTTACTCTCGATCAGTGGTATAATAATAACCAAAAAGGGTAAGGTTCAACAATTATTACAATAAAAAAATCTACTCAAATAATTTATTCCATTAAAATGGTTATTAAAAAAAGGAAAAATATTTTAGATTCCAAAAATATCATACTCAATGTCAATTAGTAGAAAATTTAATAGCTGAATCGGAGCGAATATGTGAAGCAACGTTGGAAATAACAAAGACAAATAAAATTGCAACTGATCGAGAACTCGAAGAGAAACTTGCTGATGTGAAATTTGTAAGAGGAGAGCTTTTAACTCTTCGTAAGAATATAGTACTGGAGATTGATGCTCTAAAGGTATATAAAACCCGACTGACTGATGCTCTAGTAGCTTTAAATGAAAATGCTGCTGAAATTTGCGAAAAGTGTCTTGAGCTGAGGTAAATATTAATAATAAATTATTTCAATTATCATTCATTAATGAATTTATCTATTTTACTAGAGAACATCGATTAGGTATTGACCTGACAGTCGATGAAGTTGAGAAAGAGCTTAGAAAGGAGTTAAGTCTCATCACTGGAGCCAATAAAATATTCAGTCAAGCTCTGGAAAATACAAATGAACAAATTCGGATTCTCAAGTCACTCTTGTATTACTTGGATGGAGATCTAGCAAATAAGGATCGTTGCATTCAGCTGGATGAGAAAAATCTCAAATTGAAAGAAACTGGTTTAAATCTTAATATCTATCACGGAAAAGTTCCACTAGATATTTCGTAACTACATCAAATCTTTTTTCTTCCTTTTCAAAGAAAATGTGACTAATTATCATACAAATTTCTCATATAGGACTATTACTGAACAAGAATGGAATTTACACACAAATGAAGTGGTAATGTCGGCCATGAACCAGCTCAAAAGTACCAAATTATTACGATCATATATTGATGATATTCTTAAAGAAATTATTAATGACTTGAACAAACAGAAAGATGCCACGAATGATGCATTTAATTGCAGGATCAAAGAAACTAAAAATATAAAAGCTTCTCTAGAAGAGCAACATGCGGAAGTACTTAATTATTTAACAATATTTGATTCTTTTCTTATCTTTGCAAAAAATTTACACACTGTATTAATTATAATACTGTTCATAAAAATAATCAGGTAATAAAACGAGTAAATGCTATGAATCAGAACATCACTCGATTGGAAAAGAATATTGCTGAAAAGGAAGGATTCCTTGCACTGGCACACACGCGATTAGGAAACAGATGCCATCGACCTAATCTGGAATTAACGCGTGATCAAGTTGAAAAACAACTTGTGATGGAAGTAACCAATCTTCAAGAAACTGTTGCAAAATTACAAAATACGTTATATGAAGTAAGAAAATTGATAGGCTTCTTTAATTATGTTTTTGATATCTACATTATTTGTAAAAAAGTATACTTCAAACAAATTTGTTTTTTACAGGCCCATAATACTTTACGAAATTTACTTAAAGTCCAAATACAATTAGAAGAAGATATCAATGTTAAAGTAAATACTCTAAAAATTGATGAAGTAGAATGTATGAGCTTACGTCAAAAAATCAGCTATCATGCATATTAATTATGCTGAATAAAAAAAAATTAATTTGTCATTTCTGTAATAATCATTTTTCTTGTTGTAACGTTTTTACGCTCTCAAATGAATCAGTGAAAAATAAAATAGATCTTTTTACATTCATTTTGATCTCCATATATTTTCATTGATCTGTTTATACAGTTTAATATTGAATATTTTTTGATAAGAAAAAAAATTGGAAAAAGAAAATAAAAAATCAAACTTCGCGCTCACAGTAATTCCAGGCTTGACAGGTCACGTGGCCACGAATGTGAATCGCCATTTTTGTTTACTCCGTTGAACTATCGACAATACTCATTTTTTAGTCCACGTGTGTGCTGACGACGCTTGTGAAGTCTTCTTTTTCTTTTAAATAAAAGTATTTTTTATATTTAAATGTGCTCATAGTATATATAATATTAGAATGAAGGTTAAAGTATTGACTAGGAATCCTGATGAATATCTTCGAGAAACAAAACGTGATTTGCATAAAGGTAAGATTATATCACACAAGTCTAACCTCAATTTATGCTAGAAATAGTCGTCTATTATATAAATAACAACCATATTTATATTTATTTGCAGTTCCCAGGAATTATGATCCTGCTTTACATCCTTTCGAAGCCGCCAGAGAATACACACGAGCATTGAATGCTGTGAAACTTGACAAAGTGTTTGCAAAACCATTCATAGGGAATTTAGAGGGCCATAAAGATGGAGTTTCCTGTGTTTGCAAGCATCCTCAACAATTGTCAATGTTTCTTAGTGGTGCTTTTGATGGTGAAGTCAGAATATGGAATTTACCGTTCCGTAAATGTAAAAGAACCATTTTAGCACATGATGGAATTGTGAGAGGCATTGCTTTCACAGAAGACATTGAGCATTTTATTACTTTGGGTGATGATAAAACGATAAAAACCTGGAAGTTTGATTGTTTATCAGATGATTCAAATGATGAGCCAACCAATACAATAATCAGTCGAGTAAGTTATAAATAAATAATGAATAACATCCAACCTTGGACTGACACACCTGGATTACAGCAGCCATAAAACACCGATAATACAGTAAAAATCATTAAGTAATTGTTTGAAAAAAAAAATTAAACATATTGATATTCTTGTTAACATGGTATTATTTATAGTACAGTATTTACGTAATTATAAAAAATATGTTCCGGTTTAAAAGTAGGTGTGCTCATAAAGCTGCAAAAAAAGGAGGTGTGTTTGTCAAAGCCTTTTATAAATGTAGTTAATAATTTATTTACATCAATTAAAAATTTGCAAACTCACTAAATGAATATTTTCAGCATGTTTTAACTGGTGTTACACATCATCGAAACAAACCTCTATTTGCAACATGTGGAGAAGTTTGTCAGTTGTGGGAAGAAACCAGAAATGAACCTATTAAAAGTTTCCAATGGGGAGTTGATAGTTTACATGATGTTAAATTCAATTTAGTAGAGACAAATCTACTTGCAGCTTGTGCAAGCGATCGAAGTATTATACTATATGATACTAGGGATGTAGGACCATTAAGAAAAGTTATTATGAAGCTACGAGCTAATAAGCTTTGTTGGAATCCTATGGAAGCATATACCTTTACTTGTGCTAGTGAAGATTACAAGTAATTTTTATTTATTTATTCTTATTCATTATCATTCATCCATTATATCACATTATTAATTTATTAGTTTTTATAATTAATTATTTAATTAATTTTTTTCAGTTTATATACATTTGATGCACGCAAACTATCAACTCCAGTAAATGTTCATATGGATCATGTTGGTGCAGTTACAGATGTAGATTATGCACCAACTGGAAAAGAATTTGTGTCAGGAAGCTACGATAAAACAATACGAATATACGAAATGAACAAAGGACATTCTCGAGAAATTTATCACACAAAACGAATGCAAAGACTTTCGAGTGTTGCTTGGTCACTTGATAATAAATATATAATGAGTGGAAGTGATGAGATGAATATTCGAGTCTGGAAAGCTCGAGCATCAGAAAAGCTTGGAACTGTAAGTTTTTTTTTTCTTCATTGTTAATTGAATTTGTAACTTGAAAGTAACTCATTGTTTATCAAACTGATTGATTGTTTATAGTTGAAACCAAGAGAAAAGGCTGCATTGAATTACAGTGATACATTGAAACAAAAATTTGCTAGTCATCCCCAAGTAAATCGAATTGCAAGGCATCGACAAGTTCCAAAATACATTTATAATGCTCAAGCTGAATTACGAACTATACGTAAGAAACAGAAACGCAAGTATGTATTTTTTATGCTCTTTTATTTATATTACTTGCATACACGTGTATCGACGTATTGTTTATTCAATTTATTCATAATTTATTATTGTAGTTTTTTACTTATTCTCTTTTTACTGATGAAATAGATATTCACTTATGTTTCGAATACTTTAAAGTATATATCCATTTTTTATATGAATAATATAAATTTTATTTTTATTCGTCAATTTTATGTAAAATAGGAATGTATGATTATATTAAAAATCTCTATTCTCGTTAAAAAATGTAATTTCTTCGAGTAACCCTTGATTTTTTATATTTTTCGTTCACGGAAACGGTTAAAGATGTACGGAAACATACAAAAAATTCCAACAAACTACTTTGATCTTGATGTTACCTGAATACCGAAGGAAATTTTTCTCTGAGGCAGTACTACACTTTATAGTCGCATGCACAGGCAAATCGAGGTGTATTAAAAATGAAAGACGTATTTAAAAAAATTGAAGATTATAATCATACAAATTTGTTATCCCTTAAAGACTAACGTTACTTTTTTTCAGCTTGTAAAAAAGTATTTTTATAATGAATAAAATTTTTTAATGAATCCTACCATCAACTCCAAGAATATATTACTAATTTTTATTTTATTTTAGGGAAAGCAATCTCCGGGCCCATTCAAAACCAGGTTCGGTTCCATTTGTACCAGAAAGAGCACGACATGTTGTCAGAGAAGAAAAATAAATGTTACAGCTTTTATTATCACACAAAAATACTTTTTATTATCAATACTAAACAGCTGTTGACTTGTAAAAAAACTCTTATATTGAGGAAAACAAATAAAAGAACTGAATTGATTTGTAATAAATAATTTTATTATTGAAATTATACAACGCATTACTATCATAGTTTTGAGATAGTTACAAATTTTCAAGCATGTGATTAATGAATTTTAGTATAAGATTGCAGCAAATTATGTAGCAATCTATTACATGAACTATTTTGATGGGCTTTATTTCAGCACAATACATCCAATAGTACGATGAACATTTACTGACCGAAAATAATATTTAATGTTCTATTAAATGCATATTGCCAAACGCAGACATGATTTGATGTATACTCGTAATCAACGTTGCGAAATGGTTATGATAAAGTATGTAAAAGCGTATGGTCCGCCCCTTGCTTAGTTTTTTTTTACTTCATACATAATATTCCATACAATTTTAATTTTTTAATATAAACTATTTACGCAACTTCTGTACAAGACTAGGTTAATAAATCAATAGAAATGACCACTTATTTCTTTCTTATCAAATGTAATGAAAGAAAAAATCTAAATTAGTGGCTTTACTTAATTATCCAGACTTTGATTCATTTTTCACGTTTATCGTCTAAATTAAATAAGTGACAAGTTTAACAATAATTATAATTTATATACATATAAACACATTTACATCAACTTTATATACTGTTTATCTATCGGAACCACATAAATACATTTGCGGTATTTTATGTATTCAGCACAAAAATTCTATTTTACCACACACAATGTATTCATTTATAAAGACATCTGGCAGTAATATTTAAATATTTTCAGTAAATTTAAATGCGAATTCTTATAAAACATTTACTATCTCATTTGACCTGAAGAATTCATCACGTATCTTTCAATAATTATAAATAATGAGTTCTAATAATCTTACAGTCTATCACTGACTTTCAAGTCTTAATCGCCACAATTATCACTTTATTCTTTTTCTCATTTGCCTGACTTTTAGCTCATTAAACATTTAAATCTGCCATCATTTTCCTGAAATCGGCTAGAGTGTTGTAGTCAGGATCTGAATCAATGTCGGCAAAGTCTTTATTTGAATCTGTCTTAACGAAGCTTGGATTGTAACGACTCAGAGATAGAGGACATGGTAGAAGTTCCGGCATTACTGAATGATGTGTGATTAGTGAAGTGAGTGTTGTAAATTCCTTGGTAAAGCCCTGGAACAGAAAGTCATGTATTACTTCATATACTACATGAACAAAATTATACTTAATTAATTAATTATTTCACTTATCTCTTATATAAATTGAAAAGTTTTTACCCGTAAAATTAAAATGCATTCAAAATATTTTAATGATTAAAATAAAAGCTTTAGTACAGCAGATTATTGTTTTAATAAAATATTATATTGTACTAATTAAGAAAAAATTAGTCTATTACATTATAAATATAAAAAGAAAGATAATTAGAGTGTCCTTTTAGTGGACACTCTACCCTATTGTTAAAACATACTTTTCATCAGAAGAAGAGAATGCAATTTTTAATGATATGCTTCAACATTATTCGTAATAGAGTAGACCATTCTGAACTTAATACTTTGTATTAAAAAAAAAATAATAATAATGATAATAATAATTTAATATAATAATCATCCAACTGAATAGGCTTAAGCCCCCGGAACACAATACAATAAGGCTATTGTATTTTCAAGTGATCGGGTCAAAGCGACTTTTGTAATTCCACCTTCTCCTTAATATTCCCTTCTTTCAATAATTTCTTTGTTACTTATTTATATCACGATATTTAGCATTTTTTTAATATTGCAATTTATAATATATTACATTGATATTTAGTAGATTATTTTTTTTTGTAATTAAACAAGGTAACATAGTATAAAAGACACCTTTGAACATTAATAGAGTAACTATTTTTAGAGTGTTGAGAAAAGAAGAATATTACAAAAAGAATCCTTTGGAAGTGAAATTCACAAAGAAAGTTTAGGTGTGTATAAAATAAAACTCAGAGAGCGAAGAAACTTCATTTGCATTTTATCTGAAAAAAGTTACAAACATGTAAGTATAATAGAGCAAGTTATTAAAGACTATAAATATTTGAAAAACTTTTTAAAGTTGATAAAGATGGAGTAGATAAGTGGAAAGTCATAGAAAAATAGAAGAAAGTGAAACAAAAATATTATTTCATATTAAAAAATATTATTGTACTTATCTATATCTTACAAAAATATTTTCTCTCAAAGCAGGAGATGTTTCAGTGTATATTATCAGGATAAAAAATAAATAAAATATACTCAATAAAGAAAACAGTGTGTAAAAAATAGGAGCATGAAGGTGAAATTAAATCCCATAGAAGTAATCCTCTTTTTCAATTAATTAGTAAATTAGTTGATTACGACTTTTAAAGTAATTTCAAGTAACTCGATCAAGTCATTTAGTGGCTAAGCTACTGCATTGAGACATCATCATAATAATAATCACAACTTTGAGATTGGATATGATCAAAGTCAAATGAGGATACGTTTGATTTCCCTGCGGTCCTTTCCATAAAACTCATATCGAATGTGTTTGTTTGAGTGTCTATGGGTTATGTATTTTCATTGCTAATAACTAAAACACCTTTGTACATATAAAATAGACATGTGGACAATACCCCATATGTACAGAGAATTTTACTCAGCAAAACTTGCAAGTCTCATCCTCAAAATGGTACGCAAAATTCCGATCGTGAAAGTTTGTTGGATTAGTCGGATCATCGTGGTCTCCATTTAGCCCTCAAATTCACGCTAAGAGAAACTAGTTTCTCTCTGCTGATAAAACCTTCTCTTTTCCAGCTGTATTTCTACTAAACCATACTGCAAATAGCCTGGATTTATTATTTATTTCCTACGTTTAGATAATACTTGATTAAATATCCTTCATTAAGAGATTTTCAACGAAAATGATGGTATTATAATCCAATTAAAAACTTTGAAAAGTAATTATATATAGCTGAGCTAATTCTAGAGATATAATAACTCTAGTAAACCAGACGTTATTAGAATTTTTATTTTCAATCACAAAGTTTATTGTTTTTTTTAAACTAAATTAAAAAATAAATTGATAAAAAAAAAGAATTACAAAGAAAATGAAAATTGCTTTCAAATATAATAATTAATGGTTGATGTAATTACAATTTAAATGAGTTCTCTAAACACTCTATTTTCTCTTTAGAAGTAATGTAAATAAGTAAATTCAACATAATTATAAATTAAATTGTTCATTATATATTCAAAGATAGTTGTGTTTTATACTGAACTTTCTCAACAATTCAATATGATGATAAGAATAAATGCTGTACTATCTCAAACATTGAGAAAACTATGTCCCTAATTTATTTGAATTTATAAATGATGTATATTCGCTTGACGGAATATCAGGAATATATAGAGAAGTACTGCAAAAGTATTAGAAATGATGTAATGTAATGTACAAGTTCCGGAGAAGATTTGGAGAACTCTTGAAGAAGACTTGGAGCAGATGTGGTGAAGTCATGGAGAATCATCTCCAAAAGTTTTCCATGACTTTACGATAATCTCTATGGTACTAAAGTACCGCTACTTATACTGTTATAGTAACTGCATAAAAGAATGCGCCCATAATTCTCTACAATATTCACGATTATGATTTTTATATGAGTATAAAAGGGAAAGATATGTACTGAGAAATACTTGGAAAACTATGACTGCCATGAAGAGAATAATAATTTTGCCTGGTATCTATAATAAAAAGTGCATCAATGTTGCAGTTCACATTTTCTATATGCAAATATGAAGCAGCCTATATATCAAGAAAGATTTTATCAAAAGTAATCTTCCAGCATTAATATTAAGAATAATAAATTTTATATTCGTTTTTGTTTCAGTTAATTGCGATAAATGATGGTAATAAAATCTTTTGAATGCATATTTATGCTACAAAGAATAAAAATAAATGAATATAATTAATATCTCAATACACAACAAAAATAAACAAAAAGTATTTCTTAAATGGTTTACCTTTATCTTGTAGCCTTTGTTCGTTCGCATAATAAGGTAGTGAGCAATTCCACTAGGTTGAAATTCACGAGGCACGCGCAACGAGAGTGCGTAGCATCCAGGTTTGCTAGTGCTCTCGCGTACCATGAAAGCTCCTTCCGGTTCTTGGCTCAACACCTCCAGTGTAATTTCCCTGTAGTCATAAATAACACTCATGAAAATGCAAATTATCCATAGGAGGTTCATACGACTATGAGTAAAAACCAAGTTAACGCCCGCACAACAATGACGACTTGATGATCGTAACGATAACGAGATGCATCGTTGGCGGCCAAGCTATCAAATTTGATCCCAACGCGGCAAATAATTGGATTGTGCTTTTGAGATCTAGAAATATTTATAACTATTGCTGTCTGTTGGTCGTTTAGTTAAAAACAACTATTCAATTTTATTGTACTTCAAAGTTAATATTAGCATGGTATTTTCAACTTGAAATATTTAGTTTTACTTTAATAGTATTTTTTTAATTGCAACTTTGCTTTTTTTTTAACTAATTTATTTAACATGAAAGTTAAAGTTTTCTACTTGAGCTTGAAGACTTCTAACTAACACACCAATCACTGAAGGAACTTTTATAAGGGTACTTAAAAATCACCAAAAGTATCATCTTTAAGATCTACTTATACTTTTTAAATTCAATTTCAACATTTTATTGTCTTACTTAAAATAAACTTATTAAAGAAAATATGATAACTATTTTACTTATGATTCAATTCGTTATAATTCATAATCATCTTCATTATTTTCAAATTAAAGAATTTAACTATTCCGTAACAAGTTGTTTTTCATAAGCTTTTAAGAGATCTTTCTATGTTTTTTATTATCTAATAAAAAAATTCACAAAGAATTTGAAGATCAGATGTTAACTTATAATGAACGGTTCAAGTCTTTCCCGTGATTTCGGCAACAACTAGGTTTATTTTTTCCTTTTTAAGTGTTAAAACCACTAAAGCTAAGTTTTGCCAATTATAAACCAACCTGGGTATTCCAGCCTGGAACCAAGGAGCCTTCCGGAGCTCACCCTCTTCACAGCGATTATTCAAACTATCAGTTCTCTCAGGAAGAGGCGGTGGAGTTGGCGTCGAGCCGTGAGTACTGCCGTCCGCTGGTACAGAACTACTTGAAGTACTTATTTGCGATCGTCGTTTCGTTTTAAAATCAGTATCAACTCCAGAGTTGGTTGAATTGTGACTTATTCTGTGGATAAATATGTTTATTAAAATAATTGATTAATTAACTTAATAACCAAATTGAAAAATACATTTATCAAGATGAAATGAATGAATACTATCGAAACTTAATTAATACAATCAATTATTTGTAAAATGGATGAATAATTAAGTGTATTGATAGAATTCTATTCTCTTGTTGGTAATTATTCTCTACTGGTAGCTCACCTGTTATTTTCAATATTAAAAGTCTTAGTGATCGAAGAGTTGATGGTATTATCAATACTTTCAGAAGGTGCTATTTTATTATAACTTGTTCTAGTATTTTCTGAGTCAATGATAGCTTCGTTAATGTAACCCCCAGAATGTGGCCTATTTGTTGGACTAGTTGGAGTACTGCTACCACTCACAAGCGGACAACTGTCGTCTTCACTATTAAGACCTAAAACACCTCCAGTGAGGCCCATTGTGAGTCGTTTTATCAATGGTGGTTTGTCGGTAAGCCTTTTGTACGAGTTGAGTTCCGTTGGGGAATTACTTTCATCACTACTGGGAGTACTTTGTTGTGACAAACTCTTTGGGTCATCCTGATTTGTTATCGGCCCTAGTACATTGGAGAAGGTATGAGACGGTCGTAGTCCTGGTATGGAGTTTGGTGTCTGAAATCCAAATAAAAAAATGAATAAATGACAAAGGTAAAAAAATGTTAATAGGTAAATACATAATTGCACCTATCTTTCATCCGCTGATGTAACAAGAGGATCAACATACCTTTACGCTGGCGAGTCGCAGCGTGGGCGAGCCGGCACTGCCAAGTTGAACGTTCATGTCCGCTGTGGATGTGCCGTTTCCAGAACGAGATGTGGGCGCCGTTCGACTCTTCAGCCACGAATTCGAGGACGGAGTCCTGCAGCCACCCACCACTCCGCCTCCACCACCACCACCGCCGTTATTCTCTTTTGAATTGTCACCTCCCGATGGTTTATTCTGCAATTAAAATGCCATGTAATGTTTATCCAACGAAATCAATGATTTTTAGTTTTGCTGCATTTAATATTATTCTAGTTAATAGGCTGTAAATAATTAATTAGCATAACTGCTAGCACCATAAAACCATATATGAGATAATTTAGTGACTCTTGGAGCACATAAAGTCTCCAACGATGACGTAGTAGATGTCGAGTTGACTTTATAATTATCGCAGACAGTAAATAGGACACCTACTAGAATACACAGATCGCGTGAGGTTACATTACTGTTGGTGTAGTTACTACATCACATTAAGATCTTTCTGGATATAAATATTTATTCGTTAAGATGTTGCCAGTTGAGTTATGCTTTTTTTATATAATTAAGTATATCTAATTTTATAAATTTTTTCTTATCTTATTCTTTAAATGATTTCATAATTATTACTTACCCAAACGTTTTTTACTTCTTTATTATCTTTCCGGTAGATCGTCGTTGAGTGAGATGAGATCACATCTTGGAGAATTGGCTGGCGCTGAAGCTGCGCCACGTATGCCATACGAAAAGCATTTCCTACTATCGTATTTAATTCCTCGGCCTAGAACAAAATTATTCAGGTTGCCTTTAGTATTTTATAGTAAATAGTTTCATTTTATTTCGATGCTCTACATTCAATGCTTAGTTGGCAAACGCTCGAGATATTTTGTGAGTACTTCAACTACAGTATTAAACTCTTTCTTCAATGAATTAAATAAATATTAATATTTTTAGATACATTTAAATGAAAAAATAGTTTCCAATTTTTCTGATGAATTTTTTCTATTCCAAATAAAGAAATGAATAAAAGTAAAAAAGTTTTTTCAATATCATCAGCTATAACTAATTAAAAACTAAACGGTTGGAATTCAATAGCAGATATTGAAAAAATGGTATTTGGATGAAAAATTCAATAATAAATTTTTTTATTAATTCGCGTTGAAAAAGTTGGGCAATCTTAAAAGAAAATAATTTCAAATATTGATTTATATTTAAATAATTTTATCAACATTCGATTAAAAAATGCTACAATTTAATTTTAAAAAATAATATTATTAATTTCTCATAAATATACCAATAATTGATCTAATTATAGTTGAACCATGAAATAGATTTAAAAATAACAATTTTCATGAAAGCTAATAAATATTTGTATTCCATTTTTAATTATTGAATAATAATTCAAACTCTGATGTTAGTCTTTCATTACAAATTCATTTCCAATTAATGCAAAATAATTGATGGAAATCGATCCTCTATAACATATTTTATATCATGTAAAATAAAAATATAATTAATAAAAAAAAATTCAATATCATAGAAATATTATTGATGAAATGCAATTGTCCAGAAAATATAGATGCATTGGATAGAGGTGGTCGAAAATAAAGCATATATGTATACAGCTTTAGGTACAACTACTATTACTAAACCTCTGTCTGGCTTAAAGAATATATGTCATAAGAGACACATGTAGGACGTAGATAGAAAGTATGTTATATTTGATATATGTTGTGCCTTTTCCATCGTGGTTTGCAATGCTGCCTAAGCCGGATATAATCGAAATGGGAGAAGGCAGGAAGTCTGCATAGAGCTCACCAACATATAGGGTATGAACATAGATACGATTTTCCAGTCGCAGTTCTTCACTTTTCTCCAATCCTGTTGGTCTTTTCCTCGAAACGTCTGCACTGCGAATATATTACACCAGAACGTATCACTCGGCTCATAGCACTTGACTTTCATGTATTTCGAGTGTCGTACATCTCTTGCTATAATATTACATACATTTACACATAATAGACAGCCGACACAATGTGTAAATAAAAAGATAAAAGCTCAAAGAAGCAATGTATATAAAATAGGGTAATGATCTTGGTGTCTTTCGTTAACTTAACAACCGTGAAATCATTGAATATTCTGATTAATTGCAAGGATTATTTTTAAATTATTTTATTTGCAAAATAATAATTTACATTTGATAAGTATCTATTGGGATCATCAAAAAAATAAAATCATCAGTTATTTTATTAGGAAAGAAATAAAAAAAAAGCCAGTGATCAAATATTTTTTTTTGCAATGTGATTTTTTTGCTCTGTAAAATTAGATTCTCTGTTGGTATGGGATAAAGAAAGAGAAAGGCTTTATTGAATAATACAAAACAAACAGCAAAAGACCGGATGCATAGCGCGTTCATGTCATTTTTGACTTTTCAAATAAGAAACCACAGTGTAGTCGTGTAGTGAATGAGTAGAGAGAAAAAGTATGACAGGGATGAACTGTCCAGCGACTTTTGTCCTCACCAATGCTGACTATATAGTGCAAAGCGAAACCCGATCGGTGGCCTCGGAACTGCGGTTGAGATACTGAGAATGCCACATTGCTGTCACCCATGTGTGCGTTCCGTAATGTCACGTGTGCTCTTTACTATTTACGTCCACCCAGTGTAATTTTTTTTTTTATTTTATTTTTATGCTTTTTTTTTCCAACTCTGTTCTCGCTTACTGCTACACTATTTTAATCCACTTTTGATGGAAATTTTTTCCTCTTTGTAAATGGTATACTTTTCCAATTTCAAAAGTTGCCTGTTTGATCGATGCTTTTTACTTTTGATGTTATTTAGTGGAATTCATTTTGTATTCATGTGAGCTAAATTTTTGCAAGTATTTTCAAAGACTCACAAGCTATCCAATCTCTAGTTCCATTGTTTTATCCATTGCCTTTACTTAATCAAAATCAAAATGAACATTGTTTTTTTTAAATATAAAATTATGAGGTAGTAAAGTATTTAGAAAATAAAATAAAAATATTTTTAAATAATAATAGAGTTGTATTATACAGATAATTAATTGCATATTATATTTGAACATATTCTGCAAACATTATTTTGTAAACCTACATGATAGGTACATCAATATGTAATTAACCTTTCACAATAATCAACATTTCTGGCCATAGGGTTAAATATTATGGTATAAAATATGTAATATAATACATTATTTTGTGATTCTACAAGAGATATAAAATTTTGATGTTCTATGTTTATAACTTCCGTAAGTAATTGACATATCTAACCGATTCCCATTAATGTATTTTTAAGATAAGTGAAAACAGATGAAATTTTGATAAATATTTCTTTCAGTCCAGCAACGAGGCGTGAAGAAAAAAAAATATCAAACTCTCAACTTAAAGATGAATTTAAAAATATTTCGCAGCCGGATTTGGATGTTGTGTTAGTTTTAGTTTGGTGAAGAAAAAAGAAGTTAATTAAGATCGTTAGAGTATACTAAACGACGTAACTAGAGAGAAAGCAGTCAGACATGAAGATTCGTTATTTTCTCTCCTACGAAACTATCTTGAAATCCATTAACGAGCTCAAGATGTCTTTACTTGCAAACTACTTTCAAAATTTAGTCGTCAAGTTTTGCGTGACTTCAACTCATTAAATGATGTTTTTATTGTCTCATCATCCTCTTCTTCTCATTGTGTCTTTTGTCGTTTTCTGATGATAGAGAAAACAATTTAATCATTCTGGAATTAATAATGTACTAACAAAGCACTTGCAGGCAATCCAACTGTTGCTCATCTACATATGATGACAATTGTCGTTAATATTTAACTTTTTCAGCCAACTTGGAGATAGAAAGATATATATATCCAACGACAAATGTTCATTTCTCTGAGAGAGATTTCAAGATGAACGACGACAGAAACAAGTATCTTAGATTAAATCCGGCTGGAAGAATGTCGCTGGAAGATGAAGTAATCTACTGTAGGATCACTTCGTTTCAATTAAAGTCTCGATTGCTCGAAATCCAGTAATAGAAGCTTTAAGATCTCCAAGCCCTTGTTTTCGTATTTAAATATTGAATGGATTTTATATTCAAAGTGGGATAATAAAATTTGTGAAGAGATTCAAATATCCTGGTTAGTATTTTATATTAAATTATTATTTAATAATAAACAAAATTTTTCTCTATTCTTTTTAATGGTCAATATAGAGAAAATAAATTCTACCAGTCAATTTTTCTTTTTTTTTTATCACGTTTCCGTTTCAGCTTTCAAATAAAAATATTTATTCGAGACCATTCCAGTATTATTTTATATTTTTTAAATGGTTTGAAAAATCGAATAATCAATTTAAACGAATCATCCGTGATTTGGAATTTCACACTTTGTCCAAAAATAATCACCATATTCAGCGACATTCAATGATACTTTGGACTGAAAGCTACTGTTTTTAAACATTCAATTACTCGAATTTCAAAAAATTACGATAAAAAAGTCAACAATGAGCGAAATGATGCCATTGTAATTGTTTGAAGTAATTGTAGGTGTCAGAGTGTGCTATGCATATGATTATAAAGTGCATTTCAAACAAGTACATTCAAAGAGAAAAATTACGTAAGCACATACTTGCTAATTCTACGGTTCATTCATACGAATGATAGTAGGAATGAATAAACTTTTCAAAAAAATTGTAAACTTCAAGTTATTATAATAATAGCATAACAGCTGGGAATCATGATAATTTTATAGTCCACTAATAAACAACAATCAGAGGTAAAAAAAATTTTCAATGATATAATACATCCATGGTTTTAGTTATTATATATGTACATAACTGTGTAGGCACATACGGCATATATACAGCATCTGTTGTTCCTGATGCTCGCACTTGCCATTGGCAATATTCATAAGAGACGTCAAGGGAGAATGTGAACCTACAGTAAGTCTGAAGCTTAGATTGCATTAATTTATGTGCGTGCCACGTTGCATTATATACATATCTCTTGGCTCTTTATAATTAGACCATTCTACCTGTGTTACATTCATCAGCATACTGCTTTTAAAAACCTGATTTACATTAATTCATTAACCTACCTAAAGAAAAAATTCCTCTAGACATAGAGACTAGTTTCTGAATTTTCAAATTATATAGTAGGAATGAATTAACATCCATTTTAATATAAATTAAATTTTAATTATATCCTATCAAACATATTCACTTTAATAATTTATTTCAATAAAATTAACTTTGTCAAAATTCACTTGCTGAAGGATAATTAAAGAGGAGGTTTAATTTAATAATTAAACCTTTGTTAGTGAATATATGCTTTGCAAACAATTTTTTAATGTTAAAATTATTTTTAGTGAGTCAATAAAAAACATGTTTAAAGGTTGCAATATGGTTGATATTTTATTGATCATTATAGAGATTTGTGATCAGTTTAAATTCGATTGATTTAAATAACTTAATATTAATTCAATAAAAGTTTATTTTAAAATCATGAATTTTTGCATGTAATTAATACATTGAATTCAATACAAAAATTTAATTAATTATAATAAGTTATGTAAAAAATTTATTGGTGCTTGAATAATCAAATTTTTGAAAGATTTATTAGCAAAAAACAATATTGATATGCAACTCTTCAGAATGTTTATTTTATCGATTAACAAAACAATTGTTTTTTACAATTTAGGAAAAAATAGAGAAATGATACTTTTTTGTCATTTCTGTTCATAAATATTTAAAACAATTTTTTTTAAGGAAATTAC